TGTATTGTAATGACCAGCTTATACACAGCAGAGCCACTTGTGACCTCTAACTGGTAGTCTAATTACAAAAAGAGATAATTAACCATTTGTCAACCCATGACAACCTTTTTAAAAATGTTACGACATTTTAACCGTAAACACAATCCACGAATGCACAACAAATATAAATTCGTAGCTTAATTTTATATATTGATAAAAATGTATTAGTAATTTAGAAACATATTACAATGATACCAATAGAATTACTTAATGTTTATCTATAATATAAATATTTGTGTGGTCACCACAACTACGCCTCTATATAAGGAACGAAAGTTAGACTTATCCACAAATCTGGCTGTCGCCTGATGAAGCTAGTTGTAATTACTGGCGAAGCGTCGTACTTAGATTGTAAATGTTTGTGGCTTGGCTCTCCAACACACCGGTGTGCTGTACTAGTGACAAATTGGCATGTTCTGTTTACGTGACAACTCTTACTAGTTGGCTGTCGGGTGGTGGTGGATTTTAGCGACACTTTTATATATTTACGCCATCTAACCCAAAAAAACCTCTTATGGATATTGGTCGCGAAAGCCTCCGTATTAAACCGACTAAATGTTTAATTACATACAATGCAACATATATCCTTCACAACACGACTCATAAAAAATGAGTAATCTGCCTTTTCATCATTATTTGTTACGGCTTTATAACTCATCGGTGTAGTTCTGCTGCCATTTACTTCGCGAGGATCGCTTGTCCCTTCTCGAGTCAGAGAAACACCGTGCAAGCTACATTCGAGGGCCTGGAAAGGCACGTGAAGGAACTCGGGCTTCATGGCGTGCACCTGCGACTCGAGGACGCATTCCATCCTGCCCTTGTCCACGAGGAACACCTCCAACGCAAACAACAGTTGCAGCAAGAAGATCACAATATGCTCCTCTGACACCACAACACATATGGAGGGGGGGGGGGGGACACTCAACAGGGTCTGGGAGACTGCAAAGCAGAAAAATCACTGAGACTCCAGACAGCAGAAAGGACTTTATGTATGTTGAACTTCTTTCGCACCGTACTTAGCCAACCACGCTAACAAGGGGTGCGGGGGAAGGGGTTGAGCTTGATAGAGAACCATCGCTGCATTTCCCATTTACATCGATTAAAACACGCATCGTTACACCCCGACCAACTTGACTAGATACAGTGGTTGCCACTACAGGGAAGGTTTACCTCTTGAAAGATAGGTCTCCAAAACGAAATGTCCCCATCCCACTAACCACGATAATCTGGGCACACCATTACTAGGAGCAAATTTTACAAGTGAATAATGACGTATCAAAACCATCTTTAACCAGGCAAACAACCCACTGCAGGAGGTGAAAATGTACAAAGGCAAGCGTGAAACATCAGGAATTAACAGGAAACAGTGCCAAAAAGACAAAAGTCCAAAAATGCTAACAAAAATAAATCACATAAAAAAATATACAGATTTTCCATAAAACACATTATCACTGGTAAATCAGTTTGGAGTTGCGATCGCCAGTATGTGGAAGCACAGTGAGAAAGGCCCTACAACTTACCTTGACCTGAAAGGGCGCTGGGTGAAGCTCACACATGCGAGCGCGATAGAACTGGTTATTTGAGCTCAGGCGCACCACCACCAGCTCGCCCAACGCTGGCAATGTCGTGGTGGCCTCGTGGAGGCTATACTTGCTGTAATGCTCTTGCAGGTCGGCTATCATCTCTTTGTACGTGTCTAGGTCATACTGGTGTGTGACCACAGCATCCACTGCGCCTTTGCTGTGCTCGTCTGCGCGAGTAAAATCAAGGCGTAAAAAAGAGGGGAGGGAAACTTTTAAGGTGCAGTCCAGCGGTTTCTTGGTTATGCTACTGATGGCAAAGGGGCCCACCCACCACTAGAGACACCTCCAGACGGAATATATTTCACACCTAATGCGAAAATGTATTTTATGGTGTACAGTAATTTAAAGAAAACCCTTGGAATTAGATGGACAATATAATTCTGAACACTTAACTTTCAATTATTTTGAATTATTGCATGGAAACGTCTAAAATATGAGTGCATAGGCTCCTCAAACTTAAGTAGCATGAGTGAAACGTTGGTCTTTTTAAAGAACCCATTCAATCGTAACTTAAACAGACTCCCATGCATTTTTCTGACTGCCAATCCATTTGTAAACCTCAGTATATTATCAAAAATTTTTTTTTTAAATGCAATTCACTTTTTATCAAAACCAACATCAACATAACTATTATCACCACTAATAAAAAAAGGCTGCCCCTCTTCAGAATTATGGGGTTCTCTCTTTTCCTTGCCGATAGCAACCGTCCCAATTTATGTCTCCAATTGGACAAAGTTTTAGTCTGTGTTGTGCGTAGGGATGGTCAAATCCTGGAATTCAGGTGTCCTGTTCATATCGAGTGATAATTAGCTCCCCTGGTCCTTTTCACCTGCCCAGATATTGCCGTGGCTGTTGAATCTAGATCCGCTGGTGACTTGAAAGCCGTGGTTTAGGTGCGTCGATCATGGCGGGAGGGTTGACCATACTTCACCATGCTGGTCAATGTGGGTTGGTGAAGGGAACACATTTTGTCTCACCTCTCACCGAGTATCTAACTGATACAGGTGCCCATATTCAGTAGAGCTACTCAGGTCTGAAAGGTGCTCAAAGCATCTTTGCACCAAGCAGTGGTTCAATGAAGTAGCTTCGAGTTTCTTTGGGCATTTCAATTCCCTCCCAAATGCAAAATGCTCCTCAGAAAGGAACTGACATTATGTCAAAACAAGACCCTCTTCAAAAAAAGGTCTTAAAAAGTGTCTAAAAAAGCAGTAAGGATTTCTCTTCTTGGTTCTTTCGGTAAAGTCACGTAGAAGGGAAGTAATAAAATAATAAAAACAAAGCATAATAAAATAATTCTCACGACGTTTCGGCCACAACGCAAGCAGCCGTCCTCAGCTGAAGGACAGCTGCTTGCGTTGTGGCCGAAACGTCGTGAGAATTATTTTATTATGCTTTGTTTTTATTATTTTATTACTTCCCTTCTACATGACTTTACCGAAAGAACCAAGATGAATCCCTGCAGTCACGAAAGCTTTAAATCGAAAAATTCAGTGAGGATTTCCTCAATAACCAAATAATATTTAATGCTATGTTTCAATAAACTTAGCACAGCATAGGAAAACTCACTTGTGACCATCGTTGTGTTGTGGGACACTTTTTCAGGCGTTAAGTAAGCCCAAAAGCGACACACGTCCTGGATGTTAGTGATGAAAAGTGACACCACAGATCCTTCTTGGGGCAGCTGCACATTGAAGGGTTTACAGTACACCTTCTTTGTGCCTTCCATCAGCGCATCTGCAGTTCAGGACGTGCAATGCAAACGACAGCAGTGCTGTTACACTCTTGTACAAATGGCAAAGAACCCTCTGTGGTCAGACTGTTGATGGTTGCTGTTCACAAGCGCCTGTTAAGTGCAGCACAATACATGAAGGGGGTCGTGTGGCCAAGGACACATGCCTTTGTCTCCCAAGGGCCGGCGTTTACACATTGCACCAGGTACTCATTTAAGGCCGAGTCAACCTAGGTAAGGCCCAGAACCAGGTCAGATATTCGCCACTGACGTTAGCCGTGGTTTATGAGGGCAGTGCGCGAACCACTTCTCCACCACTCCCTCAACTCTTACACATTCACTATTCTAACAACAATTCCAATTCGAAAAAGACCCGTCACATTCATCTCAAATCATCTTACAACCAAACGCTTTGTGCATTTTCACTGTAAATAAAGCTTGTCCAAAAAACACACAAAGGTGGAAACTCTCATAACTGCACCAATGTAGACAACTGTTCTGGTTTGATAAAATGTGAAGAAAACCTCAATAGTTGAATCACTGCATTACTTCCTTAAATCATTCCTTTAGATATGAATAAAAATGTTGCACTTTTAACATTTAGACATTACGCACGATTCAACACAACTGCGATAAATATGCAAACTACGGATTATGGAAGACAGAAAACTCAAAAACTAAATTCGAAATATACAAAAGGGAGCTGCTGTAGATAAGACCACCCGCAAAAACGGTTTCCCCGACCAACTAAACCAAACTCTAATGATAATTATGGAGCTTTCGTGACTGCAGGAATTATTCTTTGGTTCTTTCGGTTAAGTCACGTCTAAAGATAACCGAAAGAACCAAAGAACAAACTCTAATGCCCACAATGTCCCCTGGTGCGCCGCTCACCGCGTGACATCGGCGTGCAATGCAAGTAGCGGCAGGTAACCCCAAACGTGCACGCTCCACGCCGCCACATTCGACAGAGTTCGAGACTGGAGGAGGCTGCCTGTCTCGGCGAGCAATGCAAGTAGCGGCAGGTAACCCCAAACGTGCACGCCCCTCGCCGCCACATTCGACACAGCTCGCGGCTGGTGGAGGCTGCCTGGCTCGTCATCGCCACACCAGGGTCGTCCGGCGACACGGCATAGCTATTCCTTTTTGAGAGGAAATCCTGGGCGCGTGGATCCCAGCTGTCCAGTGCGCGGCGGTCGTCCGCGTCTCCCGCGCGCTCATCGCCCGCTTGCACTGCTCCTTCCGTATTGAAGTGGGAGACCAAGGCCCTCTCCGATTCTAAACAACGGCAGAGTGGTGCAATTGCATAATTTTGTTGGCCCACCACCGCCGCTGTTTGGTGCGAATCATTAGACTCATCAATGCCTTATATTTTTCGATTTAAAGCTTTCGTGACTGCAGGGAATCATCTTCTTGGTTCTTTCGGTAAAGTCACGTAGAAGGGAAATAATAAAATAATAAAAATAAAACATTCTAAAATAATTCTCACGACGTTTCGGCCACAACGCAAGCAGCCGTCCTCAGGTAAGAACAGGTCTGTCGGAAAGACACTGCCTTCTATTTTATTCCTCAATAACTTATTTCATTAACTAATATAAATTTTGGATATTGAAAGGAATATCACGAACCTGTGACTGTTTTTGACAAACCCTCCATGCTCTTCTCTGCACCTGTGCCAATATAGAACAAGGATAAACATTTTATCGTGGCAAATGAATTCACCCGAGTTAGGTAACTTTAAAAAACAGCAGTGCAAGTTTCATAATCACTCGCATCTTTGCACAGAGCCAAACGGATGAAAATGTTGCGTGTAGATGTTGGATGTATGGCGAGTTTATTGCACAGGACATTCCATCCTCTATAACAGTATCAGATGTCCCTCAGGCTCACGTGTGGTCGGATAGTCTTATTGGAGGACGTTTGCCATCTCATTATGTGGTCTATTTTCTGAATCTACACATTTTTTTATTTAAGTGGCTCAAAAATGAATGAAAGCAATGTAAAATTGGTGCAAAAAATAACACTTTTTCGATAGCCTTTGTAGATAGATATTTGCATGCGATTTTAAGTTAAATGTCCAGTAAATAGACGACTTGCATCCCTTACCAGAGTGTGAAGTGTGAGCGGAGCCACTTCTCCTCCTATGCTTCATTACTGTGCCACTTTTGTCAGGCACCTTTTGGATTCCTTCGGTTGGCTTTTCATCCAATGTTGCACCCTTGCGCCTCGCTTCTCCAAGATTTCGGTGACTGTTGCACGCGTTGTATTTTGACAAACCCTGAAAAGCTTGCGTGTGACCGTGTGTCTAAGGAGTTGCTTGAATTCCCTGTGGTTGGTGGTACAATGTATGTAGCATACCCTGAGAGAACCATCAACTCATTCACATTGATGAATTGGGTTTCTGAGCTTTCCAGCAGCACAATGTCAAGTCCTGTTGAAGCACTAGTGCACGAGATGAATAACAAAGATTAGCCACATGCAATGCCACACACCGATCTAGATTTGTCCAAGCCTAGCTTCCAAGGGATGCGTTTTGTCAATGGATTATCAAATGATTCAAGTAAAAACTATATTTGAAAATCAGTAAATATTGTGCTTTACTAAAACCACGTGAAAACATGCAAGTGAATACTGAAAAACAAACAGATCACAAGTCACGGCAGTGCATGAGCAAACATTAACGAGTAGACAATTGCCAAGCCTGAGATTATCGAGTTCAGCAGAGAAGACAGACAGTAAGACCCTGGCTTAAACAGAGTTCAACACATGCTCAACACAATGAGTATCATTTTATATATTTCGTGAAAAATTTCAAGTTACACAGCATATCCACGTACCACCGTACAACACCCGGGGGGGGGTCCTTAACTTAACTATCAGCACGACTGGACAATTAAGAGTGGCTCGTGCGGAAATACTTCATGATGGGCAATTCATGTGAATGAATTTCATTTTACAGGGCAGGGGCGCCAAAGTTAGTATCTGAAAATGTTTAGTGTAAACATCACGGGGTAATTGTGTGCCTATGAGAAGCATTGTTAATGAAGAGGGTAAACTTTCTGTACTCACTTTCTGTTGCAGATTTTTCCCATGAAGCTTTTATTGTTGCTCGTTAGTTGGAGAAAGTGGTATAGACCTTCTTGGGACCACTTCCTGCCACTGCTGTAGAACGAGTGACTGTGAAACATTGCTTATGTGGACCTTTTGTGTTGCTTCCAACACGAAAAAGTTAAAAAACGTAAAGAAAACGTGCACAGCATAACACTAAATATCCACAATCATATAAATTTGAATAATATAAGCAGACACAAAAATTTCCATTGTATCCACAGACTTAATACATTACATTACCCTTTGGTTCTTTAGGCAAAGTCACGTAGAAAGAAGTCACATTACATTACATTAGATCATAGCCGTCGGAATAACCCACTCTTTTGCAGAAATGAAATGCACGTTATGTTTCACTAAATAAATCAAATGGCAGGCTAAGCATGAAAATGTTAGAAGTCAAATGTTAATTTAGCAAACTGCTCAAAACACCAAATAACTCCTGTCTCACAGATATGTATGCTAGGCTGTGTCCTGGGCTCTCCAACATAAGCTCACGTGTCACTGTGATACCACTTGCAGAGTTTAATGCACCAAATAATTGTGACGTCGTTGCAGAGTATTATGGCAGAGACATTTTATGGCCATTTAAAGTGGATTTTCTCATCGCTGAAGCTTAAAACTCCGAGTGACCCAAAACCAGGACACGCAGCCTTGTATCTGCAAGCGCCATTTGTATTTTGGGTTGAATATTGTATTTTTTTATATCCATGCGCACAATTTAGTTTTATGGTAAGTGCCCATGTATGCAGGTCATTTAGCACACATGTAAAGCCACTGTGATGTAAAAGATAGCGCACAGGACTTGCTGGACTATTAAAACATTGGACATTCTTTCCCACAGACTTAATACGTGAAGCCAGCAAGCATGACGAAGGGAAACCCCTTCACTTGGACAAACAAAATCTGTACTTAACCAACCACAATCATCATATTATTGAAGTATATAAACACTAAAAGAACAGTTGAATAAAAAAAATTACAGCAGGCTAATAAAACCGTCACCAAGAGTAAATCCAGTACAAATTGCTGGCTGATGATCGAGGACCGAATGTAAATACTCGACTTGGATTCCACAACTGCTTCGTGTGGTCAAAGGGACTGTAACACGGATGCGAGACTTGGCACAGTAGAAATGGATACCATCTAAAGGACAAAAGCACTTGAGAATTGTGGTTTTGGGAGGGCGTTGAGAACAGGACAAACTAAAAATGGATGCAGTGCGAGGCTCACAGGGGTGCGCCCGACTGCCGTGCAGCCTCCTCGGAATAACCAAAGGCAGAACGGCATGGAGGAAGCCAAAGGTGGCAGCGGAGGTGAGAAGCATCGCAAAAGCCCGTGTCGAGAGTAAGTGCTGGCATACGTTGACCTCCGAACCCGCAGTTGACAACGATGAGTGAAGACAGAGACAGAAAACGACTACGATGGAGAAACTCGAAGAAACGGATGTCATAGTTGACACAAAGTGTAAATGAAACCAGACAGAATACCAAATTTGGTGCTAAATATGAATCTTGATGGAACATGGAAAGTAATAAGTCAGAGAAACAGATCAAAGACATAGTAAGGACAGATCTGAAATAATAAAGTCTGGAGGAATCCTCTTAAGCAGCAAGACTGATTCAAGGCAGGAAAAAGTGTGAGGCATTCGTTACTGTGAAGCAGATGAAATATGCAACTGAAGAGAGGAAAGTGTGAGTGATCTTAGAGTGCAAGTTATCTTTTTAATCCCTCAGTTAAGGCTGAAAAACAACAGTTCTTACATGCAATTAACTTATTCTAAATAGATTTACTGCAGCTGCTTGAGAACATATCGTGTATTAAAATTATTTACAAATTCCTGTCCATAAAAAATAAAGCCTTCTTTACAACAGGCATCACTTACTCATTTTGTTCCGTGGGTTGGATGTTGAACAATGAGCATCTCTGAGCAAAAGCTGGATATTTCTCAAATTTCGGAAGAAGTATTTTCACTTCTAACCTGTAGAGATGCAATGGATTCATCTCAGAAAAGCATCAACACAAAAGCATAACAAAGCACAATAGTGCAACAAACCTACATAGAACACCATTTCTTTCAATTTGGCACCAGATATATTTGAATAAAAAGGTGTATATTTTTTTTTACATTCAAAGCAATTTTTATAGTTTAGAAAATAACTATACAAGTGAATATGTTAACCATTATCTATTTAAATGTATTTAAATACTGCTGTTAAAAAACACTGCATAGTCTCACTCCGGTAATGTTTAAGTACAGTAAAAAACATTGGATTGCGAGTAACTTGGTCTGGGAGTGTTTTGCAAGACGAGCACATTTTTTTTATAAATATTAATTTGATAAACGAGCGAGGTCTTGCAATACGAGTACTACTGTAGTACGTACAGTATCCGCTTTGTCTGCCGTGACATGATCACAACCGAGCCGATGGTTCTCTCTCTCGCTGCGGGATTGTGGGTAATCGTCTCCCATGCTCGGTCTCAGTCGGCGTGCCTCACTCGTAGTCACCATCCATGCGAGCGTTTACTGTTTACTACAGTATAGTGTTGTGACCACGTGTGTGTGCGTAAAGCATTTTTTTAATTTTGTATCCAAGTGTAGTGACTGTTCTTTAGTAACTGTACTGCAAGTGAAAGTCGACCTACACAATAACCCTCCTCTCCTCTCTCGTCTCCCTCACACCAGCCACAATAAAATGTAATTGTTTAATTTGATAACTTTATATTAAATTTAAATAATTAAAATATAAAAAAGGTATTTGTATTAATCATTTTATATGAATACAGTATTTTGGGTTTCGATTTAAAGCTTTCGTGACTGCAGGGATTCATCTTCTTGGTTCTTTCGGTAAAGTCACGTAGAAGGGAAGTAATAAAATAATAAAAATAAAACATAATAAAATAAAATAATATAATAATATAAAATAATATTATTTTTTTTTATTATGTTTTATTTTTATTACTTTATTACTTCCCTTCTACGTGACTTTACCGAAAGAACCGAGAAGAGTATTTTGGGTTGTAGAACGAATAATCTGAGTTTCCATTATTTCTCATGGGGAAATTCGCTTTGATATACGAGTGCTTTGGATTACGAACACGTTTCCGGAACAAATTATGCTCGCAAGCCAAGGTTTTACTGTAGCTTGGAAGTGCGCAAACGAAAAAAACGTTACCGTGGGAACCAATCGGCTTGGCCGACATCCACCAGTAGCACCTGCACCTGCTCTGGGGAGTACTCATTCTGCAAGCTGATCATGGTGACCAGGCCTCGGTACCAGCACTGCCCTGGGGAAATGCACACGCAGCAACTGTTCCCAATAAGATCCTCCGTCGCACCACCTGAAAGGACAATCCCAAACACGGGGCAACGTTAATCCACACATGGCGGGCTCGCCGTGGGCACAAGCTAAAACGCATTGTCGCAAGATAATCTTGACTCACCCAATTCCAGGTTTTCTGTTGAAGTGCTGTAGATTTGATGAAGATCTTTAAACATCTGCTCCATATCAGAGGCCCAGTCGTTTTTGATGTGCACGTAAAATTCTCTTGGCGAGACTGAAAATGGTGTTAAATACTTTGAGGTATATTTTTTTTTAAGGAAAAATCATAAATGCACTTTAATGAAACTGAGTGAATTAAACGAAGGTTAAACATTGCTTTTTTATGGAACGATGACAAATTAACCTTACATTTGGATATTAAAATATTAAAATACAGTACAGGCCTCCCTCGCTTAACACCCCACCCCTCCCCAATAGCGCGCATTTGCAATTACGAGATTAAGCTTTTCGGGACATACTTCACACTTACGCTATGCGTTTCACAGTTATATAAAAAATAGCAATGATACATTTTTGTAAATAAGAAAAGAAAAATATATATTTGTGGAGGTGCTCAGTGTCACGGGCTGGGCATATGGACACAAGGCAGTCAGTGGCACCTGAACTATTGCCGTGCAAGCATCATGGGGCCAAAGACCACCCAACCTCCACACGTATATAGCCTGAACAGACTTGGGCGAGTGCGATTAGCGAGCAGCTATGAAGGCCGGCACGGCACACGAGGGGTGGGTGACTCGCATCCCGCGCGGCCACCTTTTGTTTCTCTAGTGGCGATGTTTACACATCACATCAATTACTCATTAGAGGCCGAGTCGACCTAAGAGAGGCCCAGGACCGATTCAGATAATCATCACTGGTGTTGGGCATGAGCGGGAATCGAACTCGGGTTGCTGGGTTCGTAGCGCAATGCGCTGCACACTATCGCTCCCTACTTGCGGGCAAACGCGCACACACACACACACCTGCTTTTTATCATCTGGAAATTTAACATTTATACTACTAGTTATTGTCTAAAAATGTTTTCTGAATAGGGTTTTTACATGTTTATTCAAATTATTTTGTTTTTAGTTTATTTTGCATAGAGTACTTATTTGAATTGTGATGTCTATTTTTGGTTGCCATGTATCTAATCCCGTTATTTAGCTAAGGTCGTAAGCTTATTGCAGTTTTGGCTTTCGCGGTACTTTTCAAGAAAGTAATCCCCGCGATATTCAAGAGTCTCCTGTATATGTACATTTTGGAGGAAACCTGAATACTCAAGACACCTAGACAAGTAGCTAACACCTAAAACCACATACAAATAAGATGGTAATTGAAAAACACAATTTCAAAGCTTCGTGTTGTTATAAATGGAAGCTATCAGGTGCGAATAAAGGAAATCTAGGCCTAATCAAGCAGTTAAAATTCACAACCATTACCATCCATTGCTTAAGCAACTGTATACAGCCATGTGACCCAGACCGAATGACCAGAGTTCACGCAAACTCCGATCATCCTCGCAGCGGCTTCTGACTAGCCATTGAACAATTACCATCACTGCATCGCTCGCTTTCAGATGCGCTTCTGCGGCCATCTGGAATGCTCTTTCTACTTTTAAATCGACATGTAAAAATAATTTCGTTCAAGCTGCTTTTGTGTTTCATGTTGTCCCCCCCCCCCACCCTCGGTTAGCACGGTTGGCTACGTACACAGTGCGAAAGAAGTTCAACATATGTAGAGGTGTAGCACTGAAACAAGCGTATCCACATTAATTGCTAAACAACATGCAACCACTGGAACATGCCTCTCACAAATTAATCTTTGCAGAGTATGTATGTCACATATTCGTTCTGATCACTTGACCATCTACAACCGGTGGAGTACTTATGCATGGAGCAACTATCATTTTCTACAGATGTTCACAAATGCGACTTTCCCACGCAATGCATTCATTTAATCTCGTGTACATTCGCTTGCTTCTAAAGTACAGTAAAAGCAGTTTCAATGTTTAAAGCGGACCATGCTTTAATATATGTCTAGTGACTTCTTTGATCTTTTCACACATCTTGCCTTCAAACCCAAGTATCCCCTGCGAATTGGACGTGCGAAATTGCACCCTGGTATTAACTCACCTACACAGATCAAGGTGCACAGGAAGTATTCCTGTGAGGGTGAAACAAGCTCCACTTCTGGATACACAGGAGTGTCACGACCTCCACCTGCCGCGGACGGCTCTGTTAATAGACAATTACTCACAACGTGTTTTTACGCACAGAGAAACGACGACATTGTAATGCAACTCTTCTCCAATGATTCATTGCACATTTCATGGTCACGATTTAACGAGGTTTTTTTTGTATTTACAGTCTAGACTGCATTGGTTTTCTTTTTTTGTTTCATTTGTAGTTTTATTTGCGTTCTTAACTTAAAAAAATCAGAAGCCTATTACATTTGCAGAAAATTTAAGTGTGCTTCGAGAAAATACATTTCAATTAAAACATGCAATAATACTGACAAAGTGAAACATTTTGGGCCGTTTTCACTAAACATTGTAATACTAACACCATACAAAAAATCTCTCAGTAGCCCCGAGAGAAGAGATTGGCCAGGAAGCCTACAGGCCTGCACTATCCCCTTGGAAAATGCAAGGAATGGGCAGGTCTCAAGGATTCATATTCGTGGGTTTTTTCGGTAAAAGCAAAAAAGCAGGTCTACATGGCAGGGGCTTGGTCCCATTAACAGCAGTTGCACTTTAACAACTCTGGCACCCCCCCCCCCTCTCAGCCAGTCTACATAACAAAGGCTCAGTCTTTTGTTATGTAGACTAGCCCGTAGTTTCAGCCGCACCAACCTTACCATAATAATAATGAGAATAACCCGTAAAAACAAAGTTTTTCACTCTAAATCCTTTATATGCGTGGCGGCTAGAGTCCTCTTGTCCTCTGGCTTGAGATGGCTGCCACCTATGGGTCAGATGATTGTCTGCCAGTATTAAGCAAATTGGTAATTAAATATTTAATTAGTTTTCCCTAAACAGTGTAAAATTTTGGAAAAAAATTTTCACGAACATTAATTGTCTCACACAACGAGTCTGTGTGCAAAATGTCAGCTCGATTGGATCACGGGAAGTGGGTTAAAAAACGACCGAAAGATTTGCATGGTCGTAAGCAAGCAAGCAAGCAAGCACGCAAGCAAGCAAGCTTAATATAAAGGATTTAAAAAGGAGGCCTGTCCTGGTTCCTCCCCCCTCAACCAGTATATATACGGGGTAGGATCCTCTTGGAATCTCTCATTTACTTGATACAGCAAGCGTGCTGTGACGGTTCCACCTGAAGACGGAAGCTTGTGTTGCCTCCGAAACGTCGTGATTTTGATTTAATTAATTTCAATTAAAAAAATTTACCTACGTGACTTTACCGAAAAAAACCCAAGAATATGAATCCTTGCAGTCACGAAAGCTTCAAATCTAGGTGTCAAGGAGGGTATGACGCAGGCCCCGTCTCCCTTCTTGTTACAGCCGGCAAGTTAAATCTATATATATAAAAGGGAAATTTGTGAATGTGTGTCTGTTCGAAATGTTTAGCATACTTCCCAACATGCAACAAACTTGAAATTTGGCATGTGGGCAGCTTCCAGACTGTACACAATGCAAAAAGTATAAAAATAGACTTTTGAATTTTTGGGGGGGGGGGTGCAATAATGGGTATATTTTGCACGGCAAGTGAGCGGTGACGTCACATCTGTGATGTCACCCGCATGCGGCAGCGTCACACAGTGTGCCTGCTGACGCCACGCATCCCCCCCCCCCACGCTCCGCGTAGGCCCTGTATTAATCCAAGACAAGAATCCAAGTCTCGGGCGAAGCCGGGTAGTGTAAAGCTAGTAGTAAATAAAGTTGTATTCTATTAACATGGTATTTATGTTCTTTGGGTCTTTCGATAAAGCCACGTAGATAGAAAAAATAATAAAAATATCACGTTTCAATCGCAACACAATCGTCATTTTTTCCACTTGATGACGATTGCTTGTTGCGATCGAAACGTCGTGATATTTTTGTTATAATTTTTTTCTATCTACGTGGCTTTACCGAAAGACCCAAAGAATATGAATTCCTGCAGTCACGAAAGCATTAAGTCAAGAATGGTATTTATGGGTGGGAGACCATTTAGTAAACCACTGTAGTCTGATGCACTCCTTCAACTCTCTCCTCAAGACCTCATGTGGCTAGCTCACACTGACAATGGTATTTAGCTCTTGAATATATTGCCTAGGCAGGAATGGAACATGTATTGATACCGTCTGTCGACTGCAAATAACAATTTGCATGGCGACAGAAATTCGTGCAGTGTAACTAACAGTTGGTTGAAAGGCACCATAAATGACATTTTATCTTAAGTAGAAATTAACTTCTTGGTCAATCTATGACTGACCTTTAAACATCTTTATCATAAGCGTAAGCAAGTGTTCATATTAGATGCAATACCTTGGTCTCCAGTGTACTGTTTAAGGAACTGATCAAGTTCTACTGCTACTTCATCATCGATATCTTCTGAAAGCCTGATGCTGTCCTCAGAATCCATGCTTTTCGGATTGCTCAGTGCCCCCGGAGAGGTGTCCGTTGCAGACTCCGCTTGATGTTGACCACTTTGACAAATGCTGTCGATGCTACTTTTATGTATATCCATAGCGACCACTCTTCCTGAACTCTGCTGTTGGACTTGCATACAACTACTTTCTGACGATGGCAACCCATATTCTTTGGTCGTAGACTTGCGATCTTGAGCTAGCTCGTGCTCATCAGCAACACCTCTTTCCAAGTGGCTGTCACGAGGACTGCATGGATATTTGAAACTGAATTCAGACTCCAAGCCAACAGGGGCAGGCCTTGTGCTTTCCACGCATTTGAAATTGCCATTGAAACCATTAAAATTGTAACAATGTGAAATATCTGCATTATCCTGCGACGCTTGCCTCTCGCCATTAAAATGATGACCTCTTTTGATTTTAGGGACATCAGAACAACCGCCAGGCTTGTTCCCTGTCAGCGGCTCGCTGTCCTCCAAGTTGTGTGATTTTCTCACTGCTTTAGTGGCATCTGGGTCACCAACAGGCATGTAATGGTTGTTCCTGTCCTTGTCTTTACCTGCTGTCAATAAATGCTTAGCTTTTCGCTCCACTTCCAAGTCATTTTGGCAAGGCATCCCTGCAGGCACTTGCCCTTCATCCTTGTAAAAAACAACATGAACATTGTTAGTTACAAAAGAGTGCATTATTCAACTCTATTTCATGAAGGAAATACAGTATAATAAATATGCTAACGATTCACAGGCACAAAGCTAGGGGTTAAAAACGCCCCATGTAATGCATGTGATAATGCGGTGTGTAGTGGGGTATCACCTTTCCAGGGAAGATGGTACGGCGACATTTTTCCTTCATGAAACTATTTTTGCTGCTTTGTTGCAAGTGATTCAGATACTTAATAAAAGTACGACTGACTTTAGTCCTGCTTGGATGACACTGAGGGAGACCTGTGAGCAATTTGTTAATTAAAGTTCACAATCAAGTTAGTAACACTTCAGGATGTTATTGCTTACACTTTGATAGACAGCCCCACTATCTGCTTGGCAAAATACATTTTTCGAAACGTAACTAAATCACCAATAAACGGCTGATCTAAAATGTTGAGAAGGTATAGACATGAAATGACCTAAGGTACTTCCCAAAATAATGTATATTTTCAAATTCTACATGGCTCCATAGTAGATTAAAAAAAACATTCTTAAAGATATATATTGTGAGTCCTCGCTTAATGCGTATTCACACAACGCGTGTTCGCTATTATGCGGTTCTACCATCAGGGAACACTTTTCGCACAATGCGGAACGGACCTGTTACAACACAGAACGCGCACCGTTATACCGCGGTATCCGAGCGGTTGATGACCAACTAATTTCTTGAGCTGCGCACCTGAGCGGTATGATAAGAGTATGCGGAATGCTACAGTAAGGCGGCGGCATTCCCCAAGTGTACGACTCCAATATGCTAGCAACTGACGTGCACGCCCTCACCTGTTCCACCTAGGCCTCGGCAAGGTAAGGTAAAAGTTAAAAAGTAAAAACGAGCCTACCTTTAACTTACCTTTTACCTTACCACAAAACAATCACTCTACCCTACCTTTTACCCTTTAGCAGGTAAGGTAAAATGTAAAAAGCAACGAGCCTACCTTTACCCTACCTTTTACCCTTACCCCATACAAATAACCCGATTACAGGGCAATTACTGGGGTACTACTACACATGAACAAGGTTTATAACGGTAAATGCTAGGTAGAGCGCTTTAACCATGTAGAATACTCCCGATGATTCCAATTTTATACGCTTGTTGTCATTGTTGTTGTCGTCGTACCCTCAAATCTTGTAACTCAATTTTAACCCACTTCCCAATGTGGTATCAACTGCAAACTTGGTATACTTATGTCATACTGATGACAATATTATATTCTTGGCTGTAATTGGCCACTGTCCCTTACGTTATGGCAATCTTCGGGGCCACTTCCTGGAGTCGTGGAGTTCTGCCATTACTAGCACATTTAATAAAAGCGTGTTTAAAAAAAGTTTTCAAAATATTACTTGTTAAATGGAGGCCACGGACTGGGCCACGGAGCTGTTAGCGGTAAACAAGGTACCGTATTTACCGGGTAATACTTCGCACTACCTTTACCCTACCGGGTAATTCTTCTGAGCTACCTTTACCCTACCGGGTAATTCTTCTGAGCTACCTTTACCCTACCCGGTAATTCTTCTGAGCTACCTTTACCCTACCGGGTAATTCTTCTGAGCTACCTTTACCCTACCCGGTAATTCTTCTGAGCTACCTTTACCCTACCCGGTAATTCTTCTGAGCTACCTTTACCCTACCGGGTAATTCTTCTGAGCTACCTTTACCCTACCCGGTAATTCTTCTGAGCTACCTTTACCCTACCGGGTAATTCTTCTGAGCTACCTTTACCCTACCGGGTAATTCTTCTGAGCTACCTTTACCCTACCGGGTAATTCTTCTGAGCTACCTTTACCCTACCCGGTAATTCTTCTGAGCTACCTTTACCCTACCGGGTAATTCTTCTGAGCTACCTTTACCCTACCCGGTAATTCTTCTGAGCTACCTTTACCCTACCGGGTAATTCTTCTGAGCTACCTTTACCCTACCCGGTAATTCTTCTGAGCTACCTTTACCCTACCGGGTAATTCTTCTGAGCTACCTTTACCCTACCGGGTAATTCTTCTGAGCTACCTTTACCCTACCGGGTAATTCTTCTGAGCTACCTTTACCCTACCCGGTAATTCTTCTGAGCTACCTTTACCCTACCGGGTAATTCTTCTGAGCTACCTTTACCCTACCGGGTAATTCTTCTGAGCTACCTTTACCCTACCGGGTAATTCTTCTGAGCTACCTTTACCCTACCCGGTAATTCTTCTGAGCTACCTTTACCCTACCCGGTAATTCTTCTGAGCTACCTTTACCCTACCCGGTAATTCTTCTGAGCTACCTTTACCCTACCCGGTAATTCTTCTGAGCTACCTTTACCCTACCCGGTAATTCTTCTGAGCTACCTTTACCCTACCCGGTAATTCTTCTGAGCTACCTTTACCCTACCGGGTAATTCTTCTGAGCTACCTTTACCCTACCCGGTAATTCTTCTGAGCTACCTTTACCCTACCGGGTAATTCTTCTGAGCTACCTTTACCCTACCGGGTAATTCTTCTGAGCTACCTTTACCCTACCGGGTAATTCTTCTGAGCTACCTTTACCCTACCCGGTAATTCTTCTGAGCTACCTTTACCCTACCCGGTAATTCTTCTGAGCTACCTTTACCCTACCGGGTAATTCTTCTGAGCTACCTTTACCCTACCCGGTAATTCTTCTGAGCTACCTTTACCCTACCCGGTAATTCTTCTGAGCTACCTTTACCCTACCGGGTAATTCTTCTGAGCTACCTTTACCCTACCCGGTAATTCTTCTGAGCTACCTTTACCCTACCCGGTAATTCTTCTGAGCTACCTTTACCCTACCGGGTAATTCTTCTGAGCTACCTTTACCCTACCCGGTAATTCTTCTGAGCTACCTTTACCCTACCCGGTAATTCTTCTGAGCTACCTTTACCCTACCCGGTAATTCTTCTGAGCTACCTTTACCCTACCGGGTAATTCTTCTGAGCTACCTTTACCCTACCGGTAATTCTTCTGAGCTACCTTTACCCTACCCGGTAATTCTTCTGAGCTACCTTTACCCTACCGGGTAATTCTTCTGAGCTACCTTTACCCTACCCGGTAATTCTTCTGAGCTACCTTTACCCTACCCGGTAATTCTTCTGAGCTACCTTTACCCTACCCGGTAATTCTTCTGAGCTACCTTTACCCTACCCGGTAATTCTTCTGAGCTACCTTTACCCTACCCGGTAATTCTTCTGAGCTACCTTTACCCTACCCGGTAATTCTTCTGAGCTACCTTTACCCTACCCGGTAATTCTTCTGAGCTACCTTTACCCTACCGGGTAATTCTTCTGAGCTACCTTTACCCTACCCGGTAATTCTTCTGAGCTACCTTTACCCTACCCGGTAATTCTTCTGAGCTACCTTTACCCTACCGGTAATTCTTCTGAGCTACCTTTACCCTACCGGGTAATTCTTCTGAGCTACCTTTACCCTACCCGGTAATTCTTCTGAGCTACCTTTACCCTACCCGGTAATTCTTCTGAGCTACCTTTACCCTACCGGTAATTCTTCTGAGCTACCTTTACCCTACCCGGTAATTCTTCTGAGCTACCTTTACCCTACCCGGTAATTCTTCTGAGCTACCTTTACCCTACCCGGTAATTCTTCTGAGCTACCTTTACCCTACCGGGTAATTCTTCTGAGCTACCTTTACCCTACCCGGTAATTCTTCTGAGCTACCTTTACCCTACCGGGTAATTCTTCTGAGCTACCTTTACCCTACCCGGTAATTCTTCTGAGCTACCTTTACCCTACCTTTACCTTAAATCCTTGGCATGTTGATACCTTTACCTTTTTACCCAGTCAAAAGGGTAAATTACCTTACCTTGCCGAGGCCTAGTTCCACCTCACGCTTGCATTAGAGCTCCCTCTACCGGATCCTTTAGAAAATAGCAATACCAACTGCCAAACATACATTTACAGAACCAATAATCGATTTATTTCTTGGTTCATTATGTATAAAACATCGAGGCACATCAGCGACATAAATGCCGACACCTATGTTTTTTTTAAAAGCCGATTATCGGCCGATAAATCAGTTAAACCGTTGCATCAGTTGGGCTCTTAGATATTACTTCTAAACACATTCTCTACAGCCAATATATATTCATGAAAATGACTAACGAAAAACGAAAAGCATTATACACAAATGTAGGATGCACCACCTGATGATCCATGCAGTCCGTTTCTGCTTGCTATTCCATCACAAAGCATCATGTCAGATATGCTCGTTCCATGTCTGCAACATTAACAAGGACACGTTTATTTCCATGACACCTTGCTTACAACACAGAGCAATATACAATCAATAACGACTTGCGCAATATGCCACAAGATTATTTTCAGATGACACCAGTAATGCCCAAAGCTGACTGACACCAACTCACTTGTACTTCCCGTTCACCTTGGGTGCAGTATAGAGTTCAACAGAGGTACGTCCTTCGCTGTGATGGAGGAGAGCATGAAAGGTCTTATTTTTCACTTGCTCAGCAAACCAGGTTATCTGTGACTTTGTCCACATCACCTCTTCTACTGGAGACACCTGTAGAGAAACACAGAAGCCACTTTAATATACTCGAATCGTAAAGAAATGCATGCCGCGGATGATATAAATTAGGCTACTGAAAAAAACAGCTTTTGTAAGTTACTACGAATCCCATTGACAGCACGCTAACAACTTTCAGCTACCATTATACAAAGAAAACTGCAGTCCTTTGGCAATATCAATAGATCTGGAAAACTATCTAAAAACATCCTACAAGGCACCAGGTGAGGGGACCAGACAAATAGGGCATCCAAGACACATGCCCCTTCACCACTCGCAGAGAGGTTCGCAATTCAATGATTCATACTGTGGCCGTTAAAGATCCCTCGACATTATTAGAAAAGTAAATGATTGTGTGTCGGTGTCATGGTCCAACATTTGAAAAATGAATTGCAAATTACTTAATTGCATAGCAATTACTTTCCCCGACCGAGACAAAATAGCAAGACCATCCTGAAAACAGGCGTGCAACTTAAGTTAGGCTTTCCTGGGTAAAGAAGTGTATAAATAACGTACGTAGGCGAGAGACACACGGATGGATTGTTGTGGCAGCTGGCAGAACTCAGACTTGAGGTGGCGAATCCTCGACACTGGCAAACGATCACGATTCCCGTAGTCAACAAACAGCACATGCACCATCAGCTGCTCCAAATTCAGCGGGTGTATATCTTGCATGGAAAGAGACAAAAATCAAATGTTTATTCTTCAGTATGGTTTCTCAATTACAATGCGCCATGTTTGATTTACAAAGCACGTTTACTATGAATTCTTAAGATCCTGGACAGTTGAGGTTTTTTTCACTTTCTTGATTTTACACAAGCCGTTTTTAAACCAAGTACTATCCTTCAATCTGCTCACATCATACTTAAAGCTGCGGCAGCAGAGGGAGTACAGCCAAATGCAGTTGTACTGTTTCTATGCTCCTCACATTCACCATCCCACTGACCAGCATGAAGTGCCCCCCCCCCATTAACTCCCATGACCCACACGGCACGGAGAGACCAATGGGTTGCACCTCGCGCCTCCAATTAGCACGGTTGGCTACGTAGTCTGAACTAAGTTAAACATACAAACAAAAATTACTACGGCACTCAATGTTTACATTTTGTGACTTGCTTATCTTTCCTATATTTTGCGCAATCGGTTTTCGTAGTTTTCTCCTGCAACTTTCTGACCTGCACCAACTGGACATGTGAAAAAGAGCTTCAGAGCTCATTGGATTCCCTCCAGGAAAAATATTCTGATTCATAAAGACTGAACTGACGTACTGCTTGGTGAAAATTACTAACCGTTATTAAACATTAATCATATTTCTCCTGCCTCAGCAATTCACCTGCTGTATTTTTTCACCTCAAGACGATTTGCTCGTGTTGCCATCGAAACGTCGTGATTTTGTATTTTTCTATCTATGTGACTTTACCGAAAGGTTAGCCACATTCACAACCAATTAAAACACTTTAATGAACCGTGAATCACACTTCCAACATTTCGCCAACATCAAAAAATGTTTCCTCTCAAAATAGTTCTCCGCTCAAGCGAAGTGCAGTGTTGGTGGTGTCGGCTAGTGGCCCTCGCCACCGCTGCAAGTTCTACTTGTAGCAGGGACCCATTTCTCATGAGAACCACCTTGCCAGACTTAAAATAAAATCACAAAATTTTACCCATCAACAAAGGATGACACTCATCGCCTTACCCAACACAGAGACGTTCTGCATGTCAGTCACGTTCATGATGCGAGCCCTGTACCAATAGTCATCTTCGGAGTATTTTGCCAAAACGTACAACCCAACAGATGGGTAGATGCCCCCTCCAAGGTGTTCATTCTGCTGGATTTCCCAACTAACAAAACACACACATGTACATCAATATCTTTACAACCTTATAAATCCTATAATAGTAAATAATTCCGCAATACATTTGCACTTTTACAACATGCTTAATAAGTTACAGAAAATACAACAGGAAACACTAAACACTTGTGAATTACAAAACTGTTACTAAATATCCATTAGAGGGGAAATGTACATTTTTCCATCTGCTCATGCATCTACTAACCAGTTATACGATTGGCTGTGTGATTGTCTGCTTGCATGTATATATGCATGTGTTTTTGTGTGTCTGTGTTTGTACACGAGGAATTCAAGGTAAGTTGAACAATAGACTCGCCCACTCAGAGCAGACAGGAAGTACGAATTTCCTTTTGGAGTATGTAAACTGAAACGAGTCGTATATTAGCGAAGTACACATCTAAACCACTGTCGTTAGATTATATATTTCACAAATACATCTCGCAAAATGTTTGAAATGGTATAGGTTAAATACTTATCCCATCATTATTTACTTCAAAACCATCATTATTTACTTCAACAATCCCAGAATATTTGCACAGTAGAAAACAAGATCTGGAATGTTATATTATAAACTGTTTCTAATTTTGGAAGAATGTTTACAAAAGTGTAACCTGCCAACAGAAACAGGGGTGAAAGTGGTCTTTGCAGTAATAAACTAGGCTAGTTTATCGTCTCCTTCATTTAACTGCTTTTACAACAGTGAGACTGCTTTCTACGTAGCCTCACTCATGCTCCACCCACAATTAAACTAAGTTACAAATCATCACTATATAAATATCTTGTGTTCTGCATTGCTATGAGGGGAAAATACTAATTATATGGTAAAAGATTTGTCTCTATGAAATGTATTTACAGGGGTGAAACAATAACAATAAATTAACATAATTTAACTCACGATACATGCACTTATAATAATGAATCAATGTATTTTTTTTCCCTAGGTTACATACAATGGGTTAATGTGACCGCTGCAGCCACAAGAGGTGCTACACCATTCAGTTTATGGGTAGAAATGCTGAAAATTGCACGCACTTGAAGGCTTCCATCATCTGGTAGAGTTGGGATCCACAGGGCTGGATGTAGAAGAAGGATGGGTTTACGAGGTAGCACACCGTGACCTCCATCTCGAACTCATCCTTTAGGAGAAGAGGCTGGATTTCTGCTCTGTGTTGAGTGTTGGAAAGCAATGACCTTTCTTCCCATATAACACCTGGCCTGTCCAGATCCAATTTGTCCATGCTGGCCGCAGCATTGCCAACACATTCGCTAGTGACACTGCTGTCAATGTTGCTTTCGATGCTTTGATGCTTCACCATTTCACTTGTGTACCGATCACTGCTGTTGTGTTGAACTGCATTTCGTTTGCAGGACTCCAATCCTGAAATACTCTGAAATCCCATAGAGCCATTCTCATCATTGAACACCATTTCCCTTGAGGATGAGCCTGTCGCACAGCCTCTCTCACTACAATTTGCATCACTGTTTTTAACAGGACAAATATCATGTTTCCCTTTTGATGAAATTGTCTTGCAAATTACATAATCATCCCAAATCTCGCAATAATCAGAAATTGTACACTCTACGCTATCTGAAGACGAATTGCTCTCGATCAAAACATTTGAATGTTCATTGCACTGATTTGCAGTCTTAAGGGATAATGCTTTATGATGTTTCTTTTTCACAGGGTTGGATGCACCAATTCCTTCTGCAGATATAAAATTCAGTAAAAACACAAATCATGTAGATGAGTTACGAGCACCACACGTAGACTGCACATACCCACAAATGTTGCACATGTGCATACGCACACTAAATACAAACAGCTCCAACACAAAATGAAAAACTATTGATATAAGCATATTTTGATTTAAAGCTTTCGTGACTGCAGGGATTCATATTCTTGATTCTTTCGGTAAAATCACGTAGAAGGGAAATAAAAAAAAATATTAAACAATACAAATTCTCACGACGCTTCGACAGCAACACAAGCAATCATCACAGGTGTGAATCCACACCAATAAAAAATTTAAATATTTTTATTATGTCCCTTCTCCGTGACTTTACCGAAAGAACCAAGAATATAAGCATATCATGTTCATAATTTGCAAGAGCTTCATTACTCTTAGTGCCAATGTGTGCGTGGACAAGTTTTAGGCTAAAAGGGATACGACTCTTAGTTAGCTTTGGTAATGGGGTGCATAGATGCATTTGGGGTGTGAATTGTGTCAAGTTCTTACCCGTTTGTCCATCAAGCCACTTCAAAATCTGCTTGAATATTTCAGAGCTTCTCTGCAAATTCTGAATTATAGCAGGATACTGTTGCCTGAAGCGGAAAAGTTCCTTCATTGGCAGAGAAACTTCGTCCACCACCTAAAAAAATAGTTCCGTAAAAAAAAACGTATTGTACTGAAAAACATTCCTCTCTAATGACCACAAGCAGAAATGTTTTCTTGGCACAAGAGCCATGGTTCTCAACTTTCCAAAATAATTCTACACGGTCAAAGTTCAAAGGTGAAAATGCATCATCGCCTGAAAAGTGTGCAGCGTCAACATCATCAAATTATGGCAATGGCTAATTTGTTTTGGCACAGATTGAGATCATTCACAAAAAAATATTACTTTGGCTCTGGGCTTTCCGCAGTTGAGGGTGGTTTGGATTCACTATGAAGAAACTACACTTTCCTTCCTAGCAGTCCTAACATTGATTGTATGTACCACACCATGAGCAATATTCATAATTACCATATCTGCACTGCGGCACACCTAGCTCATGCACAAGAGCTGATTTCATTGCTTGACATCACCAAGGGCATGTTACATCCTTTTAATGCCACTACTGTTATTTGTTTCAACCACCGGTCATCATCCCTTTTAGCAACAGGTTCTGCCCAAACCTCTAAATTGCCTTTGCTCTCTGGTCCACATTCTTTCTGCCTCTCAGTGAAATTACAAATGGAGGAATGAAGCTGTTCATGATTCTCTTCGTACTTTTGTGTGTGCTAATTTTCATGTTTAGGATGCATCCTATTCACATGGCCGTTCCGTGCAAGACACATTTCGCATGTTCACGGTGATTGTCGGAGCCATGCTGCGGTGACAAAACACACACTAATACACAACATCAAATACGCCTTACTAACCTCGCATTGATGACTATAAAATGTGGACACGTAACGTCTCCTTGTCATGTGGCCTGAGTAACCCAAGTTGTTTTGGCGGCTGGGAGGATGGCACAAGGGACCAGTGGGCTTGATTTGAGGTTGAGAACCACTGCACTCCTACATACTGTACCCTCTCGACTCCAGGTCTCTTCATCGCTGGTTTACCTTCCTTTCATCTCAATAATCATGTCTCACAGCAGGCCACTCGAAGAGTCTTCAAAGTTCAAATATGTACCGTACTCTGCCAGCTTAAGAACCCTGATATATTCTAGATTTGAAGCTTTCGTGACTGCAAGGATTCATATTCTTAGGTTTTTTCGGTAAAGTCACGTAGGTAAAAAATTAAAATTAATAAAAGTAAAATAAAATAAAAATCACGACGTTTCGGAGGCAACACATGGAAGCTTGTGTTGCCTCCGAAACGTTGTGATTTTTATTTAATTTTATTTTTATTAATTTTAATTTTTTTACCCACGTGACTTTACCGAAAAAACCTAAGAATATGAACCCTGATATACATCGCGTATAACGTAGGCCGTCACGTTCAGTATTGCAGCAAATTTAACTGCGAAATTTTACGACAGTATTACAACACGCTAAAAGCTCATGCAATGGAGATGTTTACTAGGCGGTCCAGTTACTGAAAAACAAAATCCACCACGTATATGTAAACACTCACAGGCTGCAGGATATTGCAGAGTCTTGCAACGATTGCCGTTTGTAGCTCCTCAGCCTGCTCCAGGTTTGAGAGGACGTGTTGTACCATGCTTTCCAGATCACCTTCACGGCACAAAGCTAAACAAACATGGCACATACATCATTCTAGACCCAATGCGGTGAGTGCAAAAAGCCAAAACACAAAAACATTTATATATCAATAATGATTGCATTAATAATAGTAAATATACTATCGGCTCGTATTTAGTGGTAGTATAATAATAACGTGCCTTTTAACAAAATCACATAATGGTAGGAGGCCCTCATCAACCATTTAATAAAACAATGGGCTGTACATGTTCATAGTCCTGTACAGTAAACCATATTAACAATTAATCGAAGCTGTAATGATTACACGAAATCAGATCAGTTCCGCACACATTTCTACGTACATTTAAATTGTGTCCAGTTGGGCACTGGTATTGTCTATTATTTTTGTACTTTTTCCTGCAGCATACCTTACTAATCGAGTAGTTTAATGTGATTACACACTGGGGGTGGCCTCGCGTGACGATAAATACTGGACATCTGTGAAAAAGAGCTTTATAGCTCATCGGATTCGTCCAGTATAAATACTCCGATTCTGAAATGCGCAAATAAAAAAACAGTAAACGGCTCTTGAACAATAAGTGTTTACTAAACGACTTGGGGAGCCACAACAAAACGCTACCCCGTCCAGTAGCCGATCAGCACTATTGGCTACGTACGATGCGAAATAAGTTCAACATACCATACATATTTATTCTAGATTTGAAGCTTTCGTGACTGCAAGGATTCATACTCTTAGTTCTTTCGGTAAAGTCACGTAGGTAAAATTAATAAAAATAAAACAATAAAAATCACGTTTCGGAGGCAACACAAGTCTTCACCTGAAGACGGAAACTTGTGTTGCCTCCGAAACGTCGTGATTTTTATTGTTTTATTTTTTTATTAATTTTACCTACGTGACTTTACCGAAAGAACTAAGATACCATACATAACCGTATCTCGTCTTCGCGTGGCTGACGTCGATGTAGAGTAGTCCAGATGTCTGATGACCCCCAATTAATTGACCCCTATTATTTTTCCTTTGCGCATTCATTTCGGGTTTTTTTTTATATATACACATTACTTTAAAACAATATTACATTTCTGATAATTAAATTGGGGGGGCGAGGGGGGGTCATAAGACATATGGACCACCCTGTAGATTGTAGAACTGTGATCTTCATCTATTGTGGAACGTGCGCGTGTCCTACTACAGCGTCCAAGCGAACGCGACCAATGCACGAACACATGCTATGTTGTACGAATGTATGGAGGTTCGTGAAGGACGCTACTGGTCAGTTGGGAGGCAGTCGCCCTCCAACAACAACGGAGGGGGGAAGAGGAGCGACGCTCACAACAACGAGCGGAGGGCCGGGCGGATAAAATTCAGCAAGTTGGCACAGTAAGAGGGCAGGGGGGCACAGCTGTTGCACCTGCCAGTCATCTCAGCCAGTCAACCGATGGCACCTCCTGGGTCTGTCCCGTGACCTCCTCGAGCTGGATGCCTTCCGACACTTCACGTGGCCTCACGTGCACTTGGCCTGGCACGGGCATCGTGGCGACGTCACCGTCACTTAAGTGGCGAATGGCGTGTGTGTATGTACGTGCCGTGTGTTGAACTTCCTTTGCACCCGTAGTACGTAAGCCAACCCGTGTTAATCGGAGGTAACCGTGTGACCGTCACACGGTTAACTTCAGATGACGGCCCGCGAGAGAGCCGTGGAGAGACAAAGCGGCCACATTTCAAACGTGAGTCATTTTCGTCACCTCCACTTCAACGCGCCCCTACAACAATGTGGCGAGACCAACATTCGCAGCGGATTTCCAAAACCCGATGAGCTCACCCGTCCCGTGCCATCCCGGGCACTGTCCCGGGCACCGTCCCGGGACCCCCCCCCCCTAATTCCGAGATTCAAAGACGAAATTAAAACCAATTTACAATGCGCGTCCAGAACTGTCCCGACCACGAGCTTGCAGATTACGGGGCCAAACACGAGAGTGACCAGAGCATCTCCCCCCCCCCCGTCCCGTGTGCTGTAGGAGACCTTGTGTCTGTGGTTCAGTCACTCACGCACCTCCCGTTCTTCTACCTCGATCTCCACGAGAGTGAGCGAACACTGCGTGGCGTGTTACACGTTGGCTTGAGTGAGACGCGGAGCCTGTTGTTGTACTAACATTGTTGTTGTACTAACATTACAGCAACGTTCAAACCCGAGTACTGTTAAATGCGGCCGTTCCGGAAAAATATCCCAACGTTGGCATTTGTGGTTGTAAACTTCGACTCCCACGTTCTTCAGTGGGTTCCGTCTTCCTTATCAAAGGGCAGCGTTCACAACGCGGTGGCGAGATGTCAACAACCTCGCCAGGAATACAGGAGGTCGTGTGGGTCCATTCCCGACCCCGACGACCGCCGTATATTGTGGCGTCTCTCGCCCCGTGGTGGCGTGGATTTTGTCTCCGGGTCCTCCGGTTTCTTTCCCCCCCTCAACATTTGCGAGTCAACAAACGCATGTGGTGATAATAAGCCACGACGTCGAGCTATGATTTGCTTTCGCCAGGTCGCTTCTGAAAAAAAATTGCTTTATAGCAGCTCTGTGGGCCTTACCTTGGTGAAATAAACGATAGTTATTGCGTGGTATTTGTATTTTTATATATATACAAAGTGCGTGCGTGTGCGCTGTACCCGTCGCTGCCTTGCCGCCAGAAGCCATCGCCGCTCACACCGCCCGCCACGTGGTCGTGCGCGCCACGTGTGTGCCGGGTCCCGCCACGCGCATGCGCAGCCGCGACAAGCGATCACGTGCTGTCCCGTGCGCAGGGTGGGAGGGGGGGGAGGTCACGTGGCCCTTCCGAGCACGCGGTCTTCTACGTCGACGCGAACATAGACAAATCGAGGAAGTGGAGGCGGAGGGGATGAGAATCGGAATATGTATTTATGACTGGAGGAGGAATACGATGAGCTATGAAAGCTATTTTTCAGAGACGTCCGGTCGGGGCGGGTCAGAACGTTCCAACAACAAACGATACAAAACACGATAGGGGTGCACAGTATAGGAAAGGTAATCATATCGCTTAAAGATATACAAATACAACTTAAACTATATATATATATTTTATCTTACTAGGTAAAGCCCACAGGTATGAATGTATTGCTCAGAAGTGACCAAGCCACGAATGATAACTCAGAAAAATTAATGTTTCTACAACGTTCTGACCCGCCTCTAAAGAGCTTTACAGCTCATCGAATTCCTCCAGGTATAAATAAATATTCTGATTATGAATCTTTATTAAGACTGGAGGAGGAAGCATCTGATGAGCTATGGAAAAAACGTTATAACAGATTTCTAGTAAGTGGCGGGTCAGCAAAGTACATCGATTCAAAAATACAATAAAGAAAGCTAGAGCAAGATAGATAAAAATTAAACAAGTAACTTAAATAAATAAATACAATAGAAATTACACATGGAAGTACAAATTGCACGAGTACGTACATTCCAAGTGCAAGACTGGGCAAGGCAGCAAAACAACAAGAAAGTTGCCCAGAGGTCGTCGTTTCTTTAGAATCGAAACGCCGACCTTCTGGATTGCAAGTGCAGCGTGCTAACATTAAACCACTCTAGGAGCTCCATTTGTTTCGGGGGGGGGGGGGGGGGGGGTTAAGGTTAAATTGTAATATTTATTGCTATGCGGTTACCGGTAATGAAAAAAAATCAATTTTAACCCTGATTCACAACACGGTGACGTGGCTTAGCGGTAGCACGTTCTTTGCTTGTTGCAAGAGGCTCACGGTTTGAATCCAGTGATCTCCCTGAATAATACTGTGGGTGGATTCACAGTAAAAATGCGTGCCATCTGCTTCACAGTGGACGTTAAATATCCAGTTACATTATGGTCCAACATTGCTACATTTGAGAGAAAAAAATACCTGCAAATTACTCAATTGGAATAATGTACACGAATACAGTACATAGCAAACACGATGTCCCCATATTGACAGACGAATGCTCGTTTGTCGGCAATGTGCTGCTGTCACTGGGGGTGCCCTTTCAAAAGTGTTGAGATGCCGTGTGATGCAGAGCACGCTGAGACGCTTATAAGTCGCTGTATTAAACAAATCGTTAACCATGCAAGAGCTATTTTAACTAATAATGCCAACACTCCCAGTATTCACTCAGTCTCGAGGACAGCGGACGAGCAAGAAGGCAAGCCACGTGGTGAGCAGACGACAATAATTACCCAAGCTCTGCGGTCCTCTGTATATGAAGGTGTTATAGGCAAATTCGTGTTTTTAATGTGGGAGGAAACCAGAGCACCCGGAGAAATCCACACGTGCGAAATCCACACCATCCTGCACAGGCGGAACAGGTGGAGTCCACTTTGTGGCTGTACCCCCAATCTCCTGGCAAGCCAGGGGGAATGGCACCTCCTCGAAGCCCACGGGAGGTTGAGTTTCACAACGTGCGCGTGTGTGCGATTACCCACCAACCTATAATCTTGCTGCTCTAAAAATTCACACGATGAGCCACTTCGTTGAGCTATCGTTAATGGCCAGGTCGCTTCTGAAAAAGAAACTAATATTCTTGGTTCTTTCGGTAAAGTTACGTAGAAGGGAAATATTTTATTATTTTTCTTTCGGTAAAGTCACATAGAAGGGAAATATTTTATTATTATGTTATTACTTCCCTTCTATTTGACTTTACCGAAAGAACCAATAATACGTTCAGCCCTAGTTATGTGTGTGGTTGTTTTGCGGCGTTCGACCCACCCCCCAATTCTCTCTGAGTCATCGCTGTCACTGTGGGCAACCGACCCCATCACAAACCAGCCAGCATGGCAGAGGACAAGGTGCGCCGCTTGGCTTCGCTTGGAACAGAGAGGCTTCCCTTGGTCGCCGATGAAGTCGATTTAAGCTCGAGCCTCGCGTTAACGTGGCCAAGGGGTTGAACGCACGAGACGAGACACAGCCACGACGCTTTATCTCGATGAGTATCCGCTTACACACGGAACCACTGGCGAATTGTCAAACGATGCCCAAGGGCATTACGGGGTGGGGGGAGCGGTGGCGCAGCGGTTAGCGCCTTGCGCTACGAACTTGTGGATCCGAGGTCGATACGCGCTCACGAGCCATAACTGGCGAATATTTGATTGAACCCGTCCTGGGCCTCCTCTAGGTCGATTCAGCCTGAACCCGTTATGGGCCTCCTCTAGGTCGACTCAGCCTGAAACGGGTACTTGGCGCGGTGCCTGAAAATGAGTACAGGGGAGGCAAAGGCGGCCGGGCGTGTTGCCATGATGGCCTTCATAGGTGCTCTCAACTTGCTCCAACAGTCTGTTAAGGCTATAGGGGAGGGGAGGGGGGGTTCTTTATCTTCATTATAAATACGTGCGAAGCCGGTCAGCCGAGTTCGACTCACGGCCACGACGCACATCAACAGCGAGTGGTATCAGAACGTGTCTTTGGTGTCATCTCGGTCGACTCAAGCCTTTTAAATGAGCGCGGTGCGTAAACACCGCTGCGGAGACGAAATTTCACCACGATGGTCAGTGCAGGGTGCTAAAGGAAGGGAGGTGGTTATGCAGGACCGTCTCAGATATCATTCGCAAGAGGTTAGCCGTGGCCGGGAATCGAACTTTGGTGGCCAGCGTCATAGTTCAGTGCGCTATCCGCTGCGCTACCGCTCTGTGTGCATATGGTATACGGATTTGTGTACATTACGTGTGCATGTTGCACTGCATCTTCAAGATATACGTGATATGGGTGGTGGCGTCAATTCAGACACGATTTAGGAAAAACTCAACACCGCCAATAGCTTGACTTAAAGCTTTCGTGACTGCAGGAATTCATATTCTTTGGGTCTTTCGGTAAAGTCATGTAGATGGTTGAAAGAAAATCACGTAGATGGTTCAAAGAAAATAACAAAAAAACTACGACGTTTCGATCACAACAATAGTCCATGTAGGTTTGTGGGGCAGTTTGTACGTGTTTAATTCCAATTGTAGGATACAAGATACTGTTGCATTGAGATACGACGTGCATATTTATTGTACGGCTAAACATATCAAATGTCGATGCAGTCTTAAAAAGTTTTTGTATATTCAGTACGAGCATTAACTATACGTACACCGCATGTTTTGAGTGAATAAAGTATGTCATGGGCTATGCAAGCCAAGCCTTAGCAGCGCAATTGGAGGCTTGGACGTGGCAGTTATCATGGAGACAAAGGTGATTCGTATCGAGTGTGCCATACAAGGCCGCGCAGAAGTACCTGATGATAACGCATTTAAAGTACATGTAATGCAATTGCAGTCTGAAATTCATGCAAAATTGTGACAGTGTCAGCCAATTATAAAGTGAGTTACGGTATTGTTTCGAACAATAATTGCTATGCTGCACAGTAGATATCACAAAATGACATTGTAAAATTACAGTAGAGTATGTAATTTTAACAATATTTCCTTTGTAGGAAATTGGTGATGAACTGAAGAGACAGGGGTTTAAAAAGGTGGCAGATGTGAATGAACTTTGTCTGTCGCACAAGTAAGTGAAAGCGTGAGACATTTCCCCTCTTAATGAGTGTGTGATTGACAGTTACTTTTGCAATAGGTCTGGAGCAAGCTCAATTTGTCAAAATGAGGGTTTTGAGCTGAGTAGCTAAGCGGTGCCAGTTCAGCTCAGTTGACACTCACCATGAAGCAATATTTAAACATGAATGAAATGGATATTAATTCTAGATTTGAAGTTTTCGTGACTGCAAACCAAAGAGAAATGGATATTACAAACAGTAACTCCACAGTAAGCAATGCTAACACTGTACACTATTTTATTGTGTGTTTAGAGTATTTGGCTGCTATACATTTACACATAAGCCACTTTGTTGAGCTGTAATTTCTTCTGAAAAAGAGCTATACCGTATACATCAGTGGGCTTTGCCTGGTAAAATATATATTGTTTATAGTATTGCAATGGTACATGCTAAATATGGTGATTGGGGTTGAGTTGGAAGAAGCATTGGTCTGCCCCATGGTTTATTAACTTACTGTTAGGTAATGTCTATATCATACTTTTGAGTTTTGAGCATGGAACAATGGAACTCATTTAATGTGTATTGTCTACGCAGAAGTTTGACGCATTTATCTGATCTATCAAGATTCCACAATTTAAACTATTTGTGGCTGAATGGAAATAAGGTAAGATATACTTACTTATTATCAGTTCAGTTTTCTAAAGCATTTCAAACTGATCTCATGTATTTCATAATTTTGATAATTTACCATCTTAATTGCCCTAAACATATATATGGCTATTCTTTGGGTCTTTCGGTAAAGTCACGTAGATAGGTTCAAGGAAAATAATAAAAAAATAACAAAAAACTACGACGTTTCGATCGCAACGCAAGCGTTCGTCATCAGGAGGAAAAAAGAGGGAAGCTGCTGAAGCAGACTGTTTTAAAGGTTTGAAATGGGTGTAGCCCAAGGATCATAAACGAAGTGGGCGGGGCTAATAATGTTAATGTTAGAAATTAGCATGTTAATGGGAGATCCGAGGACGACCTCCACGACAAGCGCACGGAGGTGGCTCTGTTAATGTCAGAGAAATTAGCATGTAATGTAAGATCGCAGAGCCGCAGCCACGTCGGCGCACGAGGTGGCTGAGAAATGTAACCTGTTCATGTAAAATCAGAGAGCCGCAAATAAATAACATCGGAAGGTAGGATGGAAACATCACAGCCAGTTATGACTTAAACTGGTTAATGACGTCCTTCCAATGATTGTTCAGTTTGTACCCATCTTCTCGGTTGAAATTGTGTCGGTGTCTATAAATATGGATGGCTTCATAAACGAATCTTTGTTGATAGCCAGTGGGCTTGCAAAGTACTTTCGTCTTGGAGAAATTTTCGTGTGAGGCCATCGCATTAAAACAATGATCAGCCATGGCCGAGGTGTTGGTCCTACAGTGTTTCAGATCTGCCTTATGTTCACGAACACGGTCTGAGACATGTCGCTTAGTTTCCCCAATGTAACTACTGCCACAGACACAGCTTAGTTTGTAGACGCTGGGGTATTGCATGTCAGGGATCACATCCTTCACAGATGGGATCAGATCACGAATTTTATGTACTGTGTTAAATCGCACCTGGATCTTGTGTTTGCTCATGATTTTGGAAATCCATACAATCTGGGTGGTATAGTAGCAGTGGGTTTTAAGGAAAACCGCTTGGTTGGTTCGATTAAAGATGTCGAATCAGTGATGATATTGTTGGTTTTCGTAACGAGGCGGTTGGTGGGATCTCTTTTAATGTTGGTATAGCTACCATCATTAAGTAAGTCCTGAATTTTGTTATGGTACACGGGCTACCCAGTCCACTGCTCTGAATGACCTCTCCACTCCCTCTAAAGACCCATATTTTGTGAGCTTCCTATGTCCTCCAGTTCACCTCCGATTAGCACGGTTCGCTACGTATGGTACGAAAGAAGTTGACCATAGATACATATACATTTGTAGCATTTATATTTCCTAACTTCGTGCATGGCGCACTGAGATCCCTGGATGAATTGCGCCTTAAAAATGCTAATTATTATTCACACCTACCCTCCGTGTACCAACGTGACTGGTAACAGGCTCGATTAGACAATGGAAGATACCCAGCTTAGATATTCATTACATTAACTGTACAGCATCTTGAGATGCGGGAGCATGTAGGCACTGTTTTATTTCAAATGTGTAACAAGAGATCGAGAGCTCAAGGTTAGTGGTGACTCCAGTGTTGAGTCCATTCTTTTCGAGTCGATCAGAGTTTAGGGAAACACACTTGAGCTGATCTCTTTACTGAAAGTGGATAGTTTTCTGTAAGTTTTTGCAATGTTTAGTAATGAAAAATGACAATAACTGTCCGTTTGTCTACAAATTCATTAATAAACACGTGTTTATTTCACAGCTGAAAACTGCCAACTTCTTGAAAACGAATTACAGACTTACTGAACTCTATTTGAATAATAACAAGCTGAAAGATATAACAGGTAATACATTTCAAAGTTGCAAGTACAATCGTGTACAGTACATTCAGTACGCAATCCATTTTCATCATTGCAATAACAATTGATCATTGATATCTATCAATTATGCTAAATTGTATAATTTCAGCTGCAATGACACAAGGCATTTACTTAACAACAGATACAGCATTGTGATTTGTTGCCAACAACATTACCAAGCAACAGTGGTGATACAAGATCTGACTCAATGACACTCTAACCACCACGTCTTTATTGTGTTTCCTGGGAGCAGGATGTTTGTTCCACCTTTCTTGCTTGCAAACTCTGTTCCTGAACAACAACCAGCTGACAAGCCTGGAGAACTCGCTGATGGAATTCCGCAGAATGACCTGCCTTTTGACACTTAGTAAGTATCATGCAACAAAGCAATATTCTGGCAGAAGTGTTATCAATGACAATACTGTAATTCAGGGCTATGGTCATTTTCATCTTTGAAGGAGCATTGCTACTGGGGATAAAATAGAATACTGGGAATATACAAGTGACGTGCAGTGAGGTCAATGGCTGGGGAGGCACTGGCTAGTGTCAGAGCCAGATTCACACACTGAGGGGACGTGTCCACACTGAGGGGGGCGTGTTAGACATGTCCCCCTCAGTGAGGCAGATGTGATAGCTGCCTCCCCTGGTGCTTTTTCATTGCAGTTTCATGACGAGACCAGTGAGCCTAAATATCTTTATACACGTACGTGAAATAAGTTACCTGGAGTATGGAAGGCGAGGACATGAAATGAAGGGGTCTACAAACATTACATTGGTGACACACAGAGAGATAGTAACAGGCACGTGCTTATTGCCCGCGCTCCATCCAGTTACTGAGGGGTTGCGCAATCAGAGGGGAGGCTGAGCTCGTCGTTGCCTCACCTCTCGTCTCTTCCTGTATTTGCAGCAGAGCTCCGCAAATTTGATTTTGACCATAAACATGATTGGAATCGTACAGAAATGACATTTATAACACAAATCAGTGGAAAAATCTTAATATTTATTTTATTTTATTATCCTTTTTTTTACTTTTCGTAACAGCTATTTTCATTGGAGTATGATAGGTGTGAGGCTTTGCCTCCCTTGACCGCACGTCCCTGGAATATACCATGTGCATTTAATAAATAGCAATTTAAGCTGAAATATATATTATCTAAGTATTACAACTCTTGATAATTGTTTTTTACCTTTTTATCTGGCAACAAAGCAGACACCTTTTTTACAAGGAGTCATGTTTGCATTGACCACAATACCTGCGGTCGGAGCAAACAAAAAACACAACTCTGATAATGTCCTTGAAATTGATTGGTCCACACCCGAGACAGCTTTTCTTAGAGCCTTGTCTCACATGGTGTTGGACCAGATGACGCCAAAAGGCGCCCTTGACTCCTTGTAAAAAAAGGTGTCAGTTTTGTTGCCAGATAAAAAGGTTAAAAAAAACAATTATCATATTTTTCTAATGGCAAAGGAAGTTCCATTGGTGTATTACAACTCTTCTCCAGCCGTTTCTACAAGCAGCAGTACTATGCTTACTAACTCGTACTTTCTTGCTAGTAAACGCTGTCAATTAACTTTGACTCCTATAGATCTGTTTCACAATCCACTTTCCCAAGAGCTGACCTATCGGACAACCGTAATTCACCACGTACAATCCATTCAGCTCCTGGACAGATGCGGTAAGACGGGTGTACAATTTTATTATTTACATTTGTACTGCATACTGAGTTTGACAAACTGGAGTGCGAGGATTAAATAATGGTCTTTAAAATAACAAATTGTTCTCTTGTTCTAGATTTGAAGCTTTCGTGACTGCAAGGATTCATACTCTTAGTTTTTTCGGTAAAGTCACGTAGGCAAAAAATTAAAATTAAAATTAAGTATCAAGTCAGATTTGCTGTATCACTTGATACAGCAAATCTAACTGTGACGGTCCCACCTGATGACGGAGACTTGTGTTGCCTCCGAAACGTCGTGATTTTTATAATTTTATTTCTATTATTACTTTTATTATTATTTTTTTACCTACGTGACTTTACCGAAAAAACTAAGAGTATGTTCTCTTGTTTTATATGAACGCATGGTGCTGCATCTCCCAGAGGTCAAAGAGGAAGAGAGAGCTGAGGCTAGCAGGCACTTCGAGGGAGAGAGAGAACGAGTGAGACTGTCGGTGGCTTTCGGCCGACGGGCAGAGTTGCCCCCCACTCCGTGCTGGCCGGCCAAGGCAGCCTCGACCGCACCAAGTGAGAATATGCGAGGGTTGCTTATCATTAGAGTTAAATGGCCACCATCTTGTTCCGGCATCCTTGTAGTTTTAGCAAAAGATGTTCACTCCCTCCCCTGGCAAACAGGAGCGTGTGGGTTCAATCCCAACCCTAATAATGCGTGTATATTTGGAGTTTGCATGTTCTCTCTCTCCGTGGTCGTGTGGACTTTTCTCCAAGTCCTCCGGTTTTTCCCTCGACATTTTGAAACCTGCATTTAAAGTAATTTAGCTGGAATATATTTCCACGTGATAAGTCACTTATTTGAGCTATCATTTGTGGCTAGGTTGCTTCTGAAAGAGCTATATAGCTCAGTGGGCCTTCCCTGTCAAAATAAAAGTTTAGTTGTACAGTTTAATAAAGTTAATTTCCTGGTCCACTTTGTGGACGTCCTGTTGTACACTATCTCAGGATGCAGTTGTTTTTGGATACATTACAATGCACGTTGTATAATAATTTGGTTTCGCAGCTGGTTGGGTATTAAGTGACATATTACGATTTCTTTGTCATTAACTCAATGTTAATTGTACCTGCACAACTATGAACATATGGATCTCCATATCATGGCAATAAAAAGCACAAGGAAAGCCAATACATATATTCTTTAGTTAAGGATCATATGAAGTATATTGCGAGTTATGAAAGTTATTAAATTGTATGCTAGATTTGTGTACATCTTAAAAATATTCTAATTCAACTTTTTGTTGTTGTAGGTTATGAGGTTGCTAACCACTATAAAAGGCAAGTAAAATAATATCAAGTGCTGTACGCATTTTCGCGCATTTTCACTTTTCAAGCACTCAGCCTCGATGTTTTTATACCATGTTCTACTTGTCAATCGCTTTGCTTGTTTTCAAGTGATACTGCAATTAAATGTAGTCGTAAACTTGTCCCAAAGTATGCTGCAAGTAGATGTGCTTTACCAAAAAGGTGTTGCATTGTAAAAGCAGGACATGACCTCTGAGTACTGTATATATGTACAGCATTAAAGTAATGCTGCACAAAAAAACTGTACGATATTCAAGGAAGAGTTTGTGCCTTCTTCCACATCTCTCGGCCCTGTACAGTAGATAACGAAATCAGAAGTCGAATCCCTCAAAATAAAAAATGTGCGATGCCCCAAAATTTCCAGCAATTCCCGTAATACACAGGGTGCAAAAATCCTAAAATCCACAAGTTTAGATTGTTGGTTTTTGTTGGAGGGCTGCTAGAATAATAAAACACCCAAGTTTGCCAAAAATGTGTGGATTGTAGCAACTCCCCCTAATTTTGTGAGATTCCACGATGAGATTTATTTTTAAGCACTCCAAGATGAAGACACTGCAATGCAGACAACGGGGCACAGACAAATACCTTTATCTATCTACTGCTCGATAAAGGCCTCCACAACCCAGCAATGCAAGTCGCGTTCCTTGGCTTTTTGGTTAAAGCACGATTGCATAACACAGCATGAAAATGTTAATTACCGAATGTTTTAAACAGATCTCCACGTGAACATCCAGAGGAAGCTGTTGTGGAGCGAGTCACCCAACGCTCATTGATGGAGCTCTCCCTGTTTGACTGGATTAATGTGCCCACAACTGAACAAAAGCGCCGTGATGAAAAGAAAGACCAGCCTCCACGCCTCATCGCAATACACTTTCGCTAAACACAATCAGCGTCCGCAGTGAACACATTAGCTGTACAGCACTTGCCACCTTCAAATATGTTCATCTGTAGCTATGGAGGTGAGTTCAAGTCACAAATTGAGGTGGGCTGCAGAATTGATTAGAATTGAATTTCAAGGACCATGTTTTAGAGATTAAAACACCTCAATGTTTCTGAATGAACTGTCATGGGGTATCGACACTGATTGCTGACAATTTCGAAAAGGCATTACATGTATTTAATTATTAAAACAAGAGTAACTTTATTTCACGTATTTTAAGTCAGTATATACATGGTGGCACACAAAACAACATGTACAATAGTTTAATTAGATGTGAACAAAATTTCAAGCACATATAAAAAAAAACTGCTTTTTGTGCTTAGTTCGTGGTCCTTCCCCTAGCAGTTGGCTCCGTATGTTGTTGGACTGCTTTGAAACCGTACATAGCCAACCGTTCTATTCGGAGGTGCGGGGAAGGACAACAAACTAAACATTAAAAAAAGTTCTAAAGAAATGCGTCTTCACTTACGGTGCGAAAGTTGAACATGAATACAAAACAAAGCAAAACGTATGCAATGCACGTGGGAACATATCAAATAATCACTGTCGTTTTGATGAAATCCCAATATAATATAGATCTCAAAGCTTTTTGTTTAAAGGCTAAATGAATTGCAACTACATCACAGCGTATTTAACATCTATTTCAAACAACACATTGATCAAAGCCAATGTAAACAAATATTGTCACTTTCTCTACAATGTCAAATTTATCATAAAATATTTTTTTATAACAACTACTCTTCCTGAATAAAATGTTTGAATGAGACAGGAGTCTAGTCAAATGTTAGAACGTCAGGAACATTTAAAAAAAGATTTCCACTAAAATTATCCAAATAAATTGCACAACACTGAAGAATACAAGTATCAGTTTTCATTTACAAAAGACCACATTGTACTTCTTCTGGAATCAATGGCCCTAAAAAATAAAGAACGAAATGGTCCTGCAACAATTGGCTGCTGGGAGAGGGAAAATGCTTCATCCTCATCCTGGAAATGAGACGTACTGTTAACTTTCACTTGCCTAGACGCAGAGATTGCATCTGCTTCATCATCCCCATTTTCTTGGGTATCCATTTTGGACCCATTGTTTTGTAAAATAGGGCTGTCATCTTCATTGGCAAGAATATAGTCGACAGGCACACTCTGCTTCAGGGGTGACATATTCTTTGGTAAACCATACAAGCTTTTGATACTCTGTATAGAAATGCTGCTTGACTGCGGCTGTGCATCTAGTTCTGTGTGGGAACGTAGCTTGTACCGTTTTGCAGACTGTGTGTTATCGGGTGTCTGGAAATCAATTGCTCCTCTGATTGAATTATCTGGATTGAGGTGTTTACCATGGAAACTTTGATCACCACTAAGCCCACTGTCATTTGGTCTTTTTCTTAGTCGCGAACTGTTATTCGAAGTTTCATTTTGAATTACTGTGTCAGCTATTTCAGAATCTTTTGGTAACTCATCAAGTGTTTGCTTTACATCACAATCCAAAGTTGTACCTGTTGACGTCTTCAACACATCAAGATTTGGAGGCGAGACATTTTTCATTTTCCTAGAAAGCAAATTTTTTCTCGATAAAAGAGCATTATTGTTCAACTGCTCTGCATGTGTGCTACATTTTGAAGGATCCAATGCTGACGACCTGATATCTAAGGCTACCTTGAGTATCTGCTGCCCCTCCAACTCTGATACATGCTGTCGTTGACAACTGTGCTCAGGCTGTATATTTGTGTCATTCTCAACTGAACATGGATCATTATCCGAGATGTTTAACAGAACATCTTCCTTCAAAGGTGCATTGGCAGTTGCCATTGACTCTCCAACAGCAATTGCAATGCCACTGACAGAAGTGTTCTGCTTGGATTTTTCTGCGCACTTTTTTTCTTCATCTGTTGTATCTTGTGACACTTCTTGGGCGAGTGTGCTCCGTTTTGGTGAATCTTCATGCTGCTGTTGACCGTGGATTTTGATTGAGATATTCTCATTCAAAAACCTCTGCACAGTCTTTTCTCCCAATTTCAGATTTCTGTGAACAGGAATTGAAACAAAATTTACTTCAATTAATTGACAACTGAACATATTCAATAATCTCTAGATGACTGAGTGGTAAGAGGGAGCGGCTCGCAATAAGATGGTTGCAAGTTCAAATCCTGATTTGGGGGTCGACTCAGCTTTATCCCTCCAGGGTGAATAAAATCAGTAGCCCTTTATGGCAGCCATAAGAATATGGAATTTCCACCACTGGCTCAGGGCTGTAAATAGATGAGCACCTGCTCCATGCTCATTAGAGCAGGAAATCAGACCTTTTTTGTATAAAAAAAATTGAAGGTTCAAACAGTTTGTGCAGCCCATCATTAAAAATGCACGTATTAAATATTTTGCTGTTAAGAAAATTAACATAAACAGTACCATTTAGTTACAAAATCTCATTACCAACGTTAGGTTGCTTTTCAAATAAAACTAAAGTTTAGCATAAATATCAATCAGTACCATTTGATAAAATGAAGATGAAACCCCCCAAAAAACAGCTCTTGCGTCCCATACTATCTGGCACGTGTCAAACATTGCAGAAAAAAAAGTTGACCGTAGTTTAAAAGTTTATTTTTGCTTGTGAACGAAGTTTAAAACGTGTGTCATGTGGAAAAAGCACCCTCGGTACATATATAGAACGACTTGGTTTTTTTCGGATGGAACCATCTTTAACGTTAACAGCACCTGATTACGTGTCATATAACTGCGATTTAGTTGTCATATTTTTACATTCACAGACGGCATCACAGAATCTTACAAAGGGTTATCTACAAATTATACACAAAATAGTAAATTCAGATTTATGAAGTGAATTTGTCTGCTCTGAAGTCAGATTTAACTTCATGCCATATATCACAAACAGGTGTTGTTACATCTGCAGATGATTTGAAGGTAACCACAGAAAATTGTACAATTGCAGAAAACACTTTGATATTGACAATACAGTTAGTATCCTCATATCTGTGATGGTTTGGGAGGACCCCCATCATGGGTTAACACATTCTTATAAAATAGCAATTTTCTTCCTGTCTGTAGAAAAAAAACTGTATCGTCTGAAATTATCTGTTAAAATCACAGATAAAGGGGATAGGATGCAGCAACTTACAAATGCAGTTGCATACGCAGTAACTTGGAAAACGTTGTGAAGATGACATCCTCAACGTTTTTAAATACCCAAAATCATAATAATCTTCATCAACATTACCATAACCACTTTCATCCATTGTCTTTCACCACCATCTCAGACCGGTGGCAATTGGCACTCCTAATTGTAATCCTTATCCAGGCTGTAACTGACCACAGCGACATAATATAAAGTAGTATTGTATTTGAATCATGTGTGGTCACTAACCTCTCTGGGTGCCCTTCTAACACTTGTCCCAGTAAACTGTCATAGCAGCAGTGACGTGAAAGCAGTGGAAATGATAAACCACCAGTAACTTACAACAAGTATTAATGCCAGCAACGACATTAGATGGTGGCTATGGTAGTGACAATGTCTAACAAAGTGTTCTTCACTCAATTTCAGAGGTGGGGGGGGCACTTTTGCCGATAAGACATCAGTGTGAGGGCTGCCAGACATTTGAAACTATTGGGTTTGACGGCACGAGGGGGTGTTTTTAAATGTGTGTATTGTTGGAGGCCGCACATCAGGGACCCCACTGAAGGCCACCAGGGGGCGTCAGTGGCCCGTGGGCCTGGCAATAAAGAACTTTGGTCTCTCGTCTTCACATCTTTGTCCTTAATTATCCAGTTGCCATCATTTATATTATCCACAAATAACTATAAAAAGGAATGTTAGCTGCTGTTTGATGCTTTCATTATCTATGGAAACGGTTAATGGGGGGAATCTTGCAGTTGTCAAAGGTTCTTGTTGGTAAAAATTCAAATGAAAACTCATTGGTAAGCAATAGGAAAGATCGTGGTTCAGCCCCACTAATAGGAAATGCAGATAGGGTTGTGCACAAGACAATGTTTACTCTATTTAGAAAATCGACCGTTTTAAAACATAACCAAGTTAAATCAAATATTACATGTGATGGCAAAATTACTTTGTTCAATGGACTTTACCTAAAATTAACAATGCATACCTCTTCAGGAAGACAGCACGACTAATGAAGTGTATCCTTTTGTGCCTTGCCTTCAGCTGGATGGACATGGATGTATCCCGCAGTCTCTTTGACACCTCATCCACACTTCTATTGTGAATACAAGTTACAAAGCAATAATGCAAAGGAGATAAATATTAATATGGCATGCAGAACATTTTAAATAAATGTTAATACGAGTGCATGCACAATTTGCATTTAAATCGTTAAATAAAACAAACTTACTGCAGTATTTCAATTGTGTGACATAGATAATTAACAAAAATGCGGTTTAATTAAAATAACAGGAGACATTAGTTTAAATCAAAACTTAAATGACATTGTTTTTTAGACTTACCTTCCAGAATATTTCTGTCCAGAATAAGGAAGTTTGGGTTTAATCAACACCCACTGATCACAAGATAAATCACTGGGATCTGCAAGGTCAAAGGTTCATAAAGAGTCACAAGACACTGAGCTGAAGCTGAAATTCACATTTAGGACACTCCAAATTGTTCTTGAAATTGAAATGATAAAGAGATAGCCCACAAATTAAATCCCTTATGTTAAACATTTGAACATTTTGTTGCATTTGCTTTGATATTACTTAAGGGTGCACCAAATAAAAAAGATCCGATTGAATACTGAACATCTTAATTTGGTGTCAACATGGTTCTTAAGTCAAATACGAATAGTAAACTTTTAAAAGGCAGACTCAAGACACAAATTTTCATTAATGTCAAACAATTCCATGCATTACACCAAATAAAACTAAACATTGATTATTGAAGGGTGAGATGCACAGGTATATTCCTTTTTCAAAAAAATCCACAACTAAATTAACATTAAATCTTGACTTAAAGCTTTCATGACGACAGGAATTTATATTCTTTGGGTCTTTCAGTAAAGTCACATAGACAGGTTCAAAGAAAATAACAAAAATATGGTATTATTTATGTTGTTTTGTATGTAATAAATCTATAAAAGGTTAAACAATTTACTGAAACCACCAAAAATCACGAGCCAATTCTGGAAAGCACAACCCAATGGTCACAGTACAGGTATCCCTAGATTTACAAACGTTCATTCAACGAATTGTGGACGAAATAGAATTTCCATGAAAACGAAATTTCGTACCCAGGAGGGTGTATATACCTACTATAATCACCAAGGAATGTCCTTAACGCTCGTGACGTCACTTCACATCGACCATCCCCCCTCATTAATATTCATGAGTAGGTGACGTCCTCCAAATGGACCCCCCCCCCCCCACCATTAATAATAATTAGCAGGTGACGTCATTCCACATGGGGGGGCCGGGGCGCCTCCTCCCCTCTCCTCGGCATCAACTCACAACCCTCACTACAAAGGCAGAACCCTCACGTCACGCGATCTCCGTAACGCTGTTGACACATCAAAGTAAAAAGGACGTCATGATGAACAAGAGATTATAACCTTAAAATTAATTAGGTCTGTGTCACCGCGCCCTTACAAGTTGCACACGAATTGATGCTTTTCGCTTGCAAGTTTCAGATTTACTGCAATACACCCGTCCTTGGACGGGCAAAAGGCTAGTTATCCATAAGCGACAGCGTTACGGTATCCCTTCACCATTGCAGTTATTCCAACATGCAGATCTTTTGCGAGTTCCCCGTTTTAAATTATTATTCAATCCTTTAAATATTTGTTCTATATTATATTTTGTATTGTGAAAAGTCATATCCGTATATTTTTAATTGAGTAGAGCTGTGAAAACTGTCCGAAACGCATCTCTAAATTTAAAGTCTTAAATTAATGGGAAAAGCCATTTCGATGTATGAAAATCTCGTTTTACGCATGTTTTTGTTTCACGCATCCTTTCTGTAAATCGAAGGATACCTGTAGTGACATCACACCAAGCAGTGAAATTGCTCGGTCAAACTGTCCGGTCAAATGTACCATCCTGGTAGAGTATATTATATTTCTGAGCATCATGGAGACAATTCTGCATTGCTTTGCATACTGCAATTTTCTTTTTGAGGTCATCCCCCACCCCCAAAAAAAATCCCTATTAGTGTGGTATGTGGTTTATCGCCGACGTGATTTAGAGGACACGCTCTACCGGAAATCAATTAAAACAAAAGTGGACATCTGGTACACCCCTAATTTAATGTCAACTTTTATGGCACAACTCCAGTTGGAAGTGTTCATGATTGTACGCACGACAAATTAACATTATTTTGCTTCAGATGATGCAATCTGTATGAGAGACCATACCATAACTGCTTGCTGTTGAACCATCACTGCTTGGACGAGATGCAATTTTATCTTGATTTGTTTTCAAAGGGGATCCATGCTGTTTTTTTAAATGTTCTTGTTTGGTCACCTTTTTCAATATTCTAATCTTTTTTTCTTTAGGAGATTCAAAATCTTCATCTGAACTAAACTTCTCAATGTAGTCTACAGTTTTCAAACATCTCTTCGATCTCAGAGAAAAGCTAAACAGTCTATCAATTGCATTTTTCACAGTAGATCTCCTTAAATTAGTTTGTTTTCCAGTGGATTGCTTTCCAGATTTTATTTCAAACTCCCGTGACACAGACCTTTGAGTAAACTTCCTACGGGGTGATGCATCGATCTTGCTATTAAGCCTCTTTGCCGATATTTTTGCATGCATTTCTGTATACAAATCGATATTATGCTTTGTTATATGCCTAGCAATGGCAGATACTCCGGTAAATATGGTGTATTTAAAAAATATGCAGCTCCCAAATTAAATGTTTAAATTAGAAACTGCAAAACTATCTCTGCAGCCTTTGATCCTTTTTGTAGAATATATGTGCACTCGTATTAACTTTTTCACCAGCCAATTATTTTCTGAAAAAACTTAGCACATTAACAAGTTCTTGTACGAGTAAAACATTGGGTTTCCTCAAATAAAAAGTATCTTGAACATGTCAAAATCTTATGAATGGACATGTACAATCTTCCAAAAAAAGGTTTCCCGTTTTCGTAAATTACTTCAAATCAATCTTCTCGGCATCAACGCCCAGCCTTGTGCTTGTCTAGTAGAAGTCTCTTATGTTTGCACTTAATACGCTGCTTTTTTGCTGGATTACAGTTTTGTTAAAATGCACCCATTGTCTCTCGACGCGTTGACGAAAAGCGGTCTGTTCGTGCAGCTCTTGCAATCTGCTTCAGATGCCAACTCCTCTTTGCAACTGTCGAAGGATCTGGAAAGTAAAAAGGCCATAATGTATTAGAATTGTGAACAATTTAAGAATAGTGACAAATGTTGGTCCCACACGTTGTTTGTATCCTCTCATACAATGGTATCAGAGTGCGAGCTGCACTGCACGTAAAGTCCCTTGTCTACGTTTAATAGCGTCACTTTATCACGAAAGCACACGATGCAAATGCATTGTATCTACAGATACAATGGGAGGCTGATCGATGCCCGGGTACGGTCAAGGGATGGCTCCCTATTGCTCAACCATGTTATGTATGCCGATGATCTGGTAATTGCTGCTCACTCGGAGGAGGAGTTGGAGGCGCTGCTGTAGAACCTGGAGCTTGCCACGGAGGGGTGGGGCCTTACCACCAGCCCCACCAAAACTAAGCACCTGCCTGGGTATTTTGTACCATCGAACACTCCACAACTCACAATTAGTGATAGGGCAGTTCTGGAGAGAGTAGAGAGTTTCCCATACCTGGGCAGTGTGCTCATGACCGGTTCCGGTTTAACAGTGGAGGTCTCACTCCGAATCAGTCGAGCGGCATTATATTTTCATCGGTTGCATAACGCTGTGTGGAAGCTACCTGGTCTGTCGCTCCGCACGAAGCTTCAGGTCTTCTCGGCCACGGTCATTCCCTTCCTTCTCTATACTTGTGAAACGTAGACCCCCCTAAGGGGCCGTCCATAAATGATGTCACGCACCTTGGGGGGGGGGGGTCTGACTTTTTGTGACGCCGTGTGACGAAGGGGGGGGTCAAAAATCGTCCAAAATCGCGTGACATCATTGATAGACGGCCCCTAATGGAACATCTTCGCCAGTTGGAAACATTTAGGCTGGCCTGCCTACGATCCATCCTGGGTTTAACCAGGCTGGATTGTGTGAGGAGCTCACAAATCCTTGAAAGATGTGGACAAAGTCCCATCGGTGAGCTCCTCCGGCAGGCAAGGCTGCACTGACTGAGTCATGTAGCTCGCATGCCCCGCCACCGCATGCCCAGCCACCGCATGCCCAGCCACCGCATGCCCAGCCACCGCATGCCCAGCCACCGCATGCCCAGCCACCGCATGCCCAGCCACCGCATGCCCAGCCACCGCATGCCCAGCCACCGCATGCCCAGCCACCGCATGCCCAGCCACCGCATGCCCAGCCACCGCATGCCCAGCCACCGCATGCCCAGCCACCGCATGCCCAGCCACCGCATGCCCAGCCACCGCATGCCCAGCCACCGCATGCCCAGCCACCGCATGCCCAGCCACCGCATGCCCAGCCACCGCATGCCCAGCCACCGCATGCCCAGCCACCGCATGCCCAGCCACCGCATGCCCAGCCACCGCATGCCCAGCCACCGCATGCCCAGCCACCGCATGCCCCGCCACCGCATGCCCCGCCACCGCATGCCCCGCCACCGCATGCCCCGCCACCGCATGCCCCGCCACCGCATGCCCCGCCACCGCATGCCCCGCCACCGCATGCCCCGCCACCGCATGCCCCGCCACCGCATGCCCCGCCACCGCATGCCCCGCCACCGCATGCCCCGCCACCGCATGCCCCGCCACCGCATGCCCAGCCACCGCATGCCCAGCCACCGCATGCCCAGCCACCGCATGCCCAGCCACCGCATGCCCAGCCACCGCATGCCCAGCCACCGCATGCCCAGCCACCGCATGCCCAGCCACCGCATGCCCAGCCACCGCATGCCCAGCCACCGCATGCCCAGCCACCGCATGCCCAGCCACCGCATGCCTAAACAGCTTTTGTTCGGCCGGATCGAGGGGGCTAAACAGGCGCAACACGGGCTAGAGAAGAGATGGAGTGATGTGGTACAGGAGGACGTGGAGCTGAGTGGACTTGCCGATGACTGGTACCAGCGGTGTCAAGATCGGCCTCTGTGGAGGAGGCTCGTGAAGGACGCTGCTACTGGGCAGTTGGAGGCAGTCGCCCTCCAACAACAACGGAGGGCGGAGAAGCGACGCTCACAACAACGAGCGGAGTGCCGGGTGGCTAAAGCACAGCAAGTTGGCACAGTAGGGGGCACAGGTGGTGCATCAGCCAGTCGTCTCAGTCAGTCGACCTGTGGCATCTGTGTCTGCCCCGTGACCTCCTGCCAGCGGGCGTTCGACACTTCACGTGGCCTCAAGGTGCACCTAGCCTGGCACAAGCGTCGTGGTGACGTCACCGCCACTTAGTGGCGAATGGCGGCTGTTGTTGTTGTTGTGTGTTGACAGTTTCATTGCACGTGTTCACGTAAGCTATTACTGTATAAACATGGCCTAATCGACAATGTCCGAGCAAAGTTTAACGTTCATTTGCTTCTTTGGGTAAAGTGACGTAGGTAGATAAATAGATCACGACGTTTCGATCGCAACACAAGCAATCGTCTTCAGGTGAAAAAGACGATTGCTTTTATTGCGATCGAAACGTGGTGATCTATTAGTTTATCTACCTACGTGACTTTACCGAAAGAACCAAAGAGTATCGATTGGTGCAGTCACGAAAGCTTCAAACGAAAACTGCCAATTAGGCGATAACGCGCCGACCTTACACAGAGACACTAGCACAGTGTTCCTCGAGCAACACGAGGACGATACAGATGAGCACACGCGCTCGTTACTAATATTTTGCCACAGTTAAACGAACGTACTGTACCTTGTTTAAGTTGCGAAGTTGCGATGTTGAGTCTCTGAGCCCTCGCGGCTCCAGCTCTCTGTTCAAACTGGCGGGGGAGACGCCCGCTACGGATCGCGCGCAGGCGCGGGTGGTGGTGGGGGAGGGGTCAAACAAAACGCGATTTTTAAATAGAAAATTCGAGATTTGAAGCTTTCTTGACTGCAAGGATTCATACTCTTGGGTTTTTTCGGTAAGGTCACATAGGTAAAAAATAAAAATAGAAATAATAATAGAAATAAATTGAATATTAACGCGATATTTATATACTCTTGGGTGTTTTCGGTAAAGTCACATAGGTAAAAAATAAAAATAGAAATAATAATAGAAATAAATTGAATATTAACGCGATATTTATATACTCTTGGGTTTTTTCGGTAAGGTCACATAGGTAAAAAATAATAGAAATAATAATAGAAATAAATTGAATATTAACGCGATATTTATATACTCTTGGGTTTTTTCGGTAAGGTCACATAGGTAAAAAATAATAGAAATAATAATAGAAATAAATTGAATATTAACGCGATATTTATAGTGGTTCTTTCGGTAAAGTCACGTAGAAGGGAAATAATAAAATAATTAAAATACAACAATTACATTCTCACGGCGTTTATTTTATTTTATTATTTCTCTTCTACGTGACATTACCGAAAGAACCAAGAATAAAAGCATATCATGTTCATAATTTGCAAGAGCTTCATTACTCTTAGCGTAGAATTTTTTTATTTTTTTATTATTTACCTTCGACGTGACTTTACCGAAAGAACCAAGAATATGAATCCCTGCAGTCACGAAAGCTTTAAATCGAAATATAATAACGCGATATTACTATAACGCGGTGCTCCTCGGGAACGCAATTACCGCATTCTAGGAGAACAGATCCAAAGCAACAACTGCACTTTCACATTCTCGACTAAACTAAGGGGACGTCCATAAATGACGTCACGCACATGGGGGGGGGGTGATAAATGTGACGTCACATCAAAATGAGCAACTTTAAATAAATATAGACAACAAGTTCTACTCATATTATTCGTTCTTTCGGTAAAGTCACGTAGAAGGGAAATATTAAAATAATAAAAATAAAACTATCAAATTATCACGACTTAATTAAATATACTTTTTAATAAATGTTTTCTCCTACAACATCAGAGTGCAGCGGCACATTATATACGCACTACAATGACAATAGTTTCAAGAGATTTGAAGCATGTTTTATTTGGGGGGGGGGGCAGAGCTTTGTGACGTCATATTTGAGGGGGGGGGTCTGACTTTTTGTGACGCCGTGTGATGAGTGGGGGGGGTCAAAAATTGTAAAAAATTGCCTGACGTCATTTATGGACGGCCCCTTACTCTAAAACACTGCGCAGTTCCAAAATACAAAAAAACTGTGACAATTGTTTTTGCTATGATTTCTATTTGATTAATTTTCTGGACTGTTTTGATTTTGGTGACCCATGTCCCTAGTACAATGTAAATGAGATTGTCATGGTTTCTTGGGTTCTCATCACCTGGTTAAACAAAATCAACTTGATACTTGGGAGTTAATCTTGGCTCGCGTTTCAAATTAGGGAGATTTGAAGAACCACCACGGCGCCTCTGAAGGAACCCACCAGCCCAGACAACACAGTGTAAACTAAACTATTTTATTTACCAGGTAAGGACCACTGAGCGACATAGCTCTTTTTCAGAAGAGACCTGACCACAAATGATAGCTCAACGAAGTGGCTTATCATGTGGAAATGTATAGCAGCCAAATACTCTAAACGCGGAAAGATAAACCAGAGGACCCCGAGAAAAATCCACGCGACCACGGGGAGAGAGACCTCCAGATTACAAATATACAAGCGTCAGGATTGAACCCACTACCTCCTGTATCCTAGGCGAGAGAGTTAACATCTCACAACTGTGGTGTCCAGTCACTGTCACTGACTGTGTCTTCCTAGAATCCCCCCCAATATTCAAATATGCTCAAAATGTCCCCCCCCCCAATATATTGCTATAAAATGTATTTCTGTTTAAATGATTGTGGTTATGATTGTACTTTATTAATCCCGAATCTCTGCCATTACAAACAATGAAACAAGAAAAGGTAAAAAAGAAAAAAACAGAAATGTAATACAATACACTATTAGACATTATTGTAAAAAATAAATAAAAAGTCCATCCTATGTGTTAGTGAATTATTTTTATATTTTAGGCAGGAAATGAGTTTTCAAATTTATATTTTTTATCTGGGGGGGGGGGACCCCCAGACTCCCTGGAAGATTTGGTCCCCCCAATGTTGACTCCATGGCTACGGCCTTGAATCTACTTGATAAATAAGATTGATTACGAATATGCATGTATATCTGCTTTTAATATGTAACTAAAGATAAACCTGTCAAAACAATACAGTGCTTAGGGCAATCATCAAGGCAAATATAATCAACTAGCCGAGAGCCCGTCCAAGGACGGGTGTATTGCAGTAAATCTGAAACTTGCAAGCGAAAAGCAGACCCCGACGTGATATTCATTGCATCAATGCGTGTGCAATTTGTAAGGGCGCGGTGAAACAGACTATTTCATTTTAAGGTTATAATCCCTTGTTCATCATGACGTCCTTTTTACTTTGATGTCTCAACAGCGTTACGGAGATGGCGTGACTTGAGGGTTCTGCCTTTGTAGTGAGGGTTGTTAACGCTGAGGAGGGGGGAGGAGGCGACTCAGCCCCCCATGTGGAGTGACGTCAGCGGCTAATTATTTTTAATGGTGGGGGGGGGGGTCCATTTGGAAGACGTCACCTCTTCATGATTATTAATGAGGGGGGCTGTTCGATGTGGAGTGACGTCACCTGCTCATGATTATTAATAAGGGGGGGTGCTACATGTGGAGTGACGTCACCCGCTCATGATTATTAATGGAGGGGGGTCCATGTGGAGGACGTCACCTGTTCATGATTATTAATGAGTGGGGCTGGCCGACGTGGAGTGACGTCACGTGCGGGACACAGACATTCTTGACTCATTATAGTAGTAAATTATATTCTTTGGGTCTTTCGGTAAAGCCACGTACGTAAATAGAACAAATAATACAAAATAATAATATCACGTTTCGATCGCAACACGAGCAATCGTCATCAGGTGAAAAATATAGCGGGACAGCTGCTGAGAATATATGGTGGGAGCACTGTTAAGGCAGGGAGTTATAAAGGTTTGAGATGGGTTTAACCCAAGGGTCAGTGGGCGGGGCTTAATTTCATCTCTAGCCCCGCCGACTGACCCTTGGGCTAGTTATTTTTTAATTTTATTATTTTTATGTTCATCTACGTGACTTTACCAAAAGAACCAAAGAGTAGTAATCACGAATTGAAACATAATTCGGAGGAAACAGTCATGTCAAATGTATATATTCGGTTCTAGCAAAATAATTTCAACCATGTTTAACATTTCCTGTCCCAGTAACCCTGATACCCACATTTGCCAGCTAGGTAGCCCAGGGGAACAACGTGGTAACATGTTCGAAGAGATGCAAACAAAGTAGTTAAAGTAAAATGCTAAATACTGTTCAGGAATCAAGGAAATCAAACAGGCTCTCTCTTGAGCAAAGACACTTCTGGTAACACTGAACCCCATTTAAGAGTTAAACTATAGTGCTGTTCAAGGCTTGGGGAAATCAAGCAAAGTTTATCATAGGCAAGGGAGCAGCACTGACAGATAAATCCCCGGACAGTGATGGGGAGGTGGTAGGGTTGAGGAGTGAGGATGTTGATGAGAGGTCGGGCAAGGGCCAGGAGGCAGCATGGGGGTTAGGTACAGCGATGGCGGTGGGGACAAAAAGAAACGAGGTTGAGAACAAAATAACAAAAATGTGAGTGGCAGGCAGGGGCGGTTTCTTCATTAGGGCGATTGGGCGACGCACCACCAATGTCATTCAACCACAGAGTCACGCTAGCCGTCACTGTGCCTCTGGATATAGTCCAATCAGCGTCATGTCACGTTCTGTGGAGTACCGCCTCTTTTTGGGCGATTTCACTCCGGCTGAGAATCGCCCCGAGTGGCCCCATAGACTTACATTCAAAGATGTTTTTTTTCGAACGGCGGGCGCTCCAATGCATTCTCTATAACTTCCGGGAGGGCATGCACTAACGTGCTTACGTCATCATACGTGCTAACGTCATCATACGTAAGCACGTTTCATCCAAAAATATAATTTATCGCCACCTAGTGGAATCTTTAATAAAATAAACTTGAGTGGTTTGTTTTAATAGTGAGTATATAAACAAACAAGATGTATTGTAAGAGTCACTTTATTTTTCATTAATATTAAAGAAGTGAAGTTGCCTTTACATGCTCAAGCTGTTAATTTATCCATTGCATGGGTGGACCTTATCCTTATCAATCATCCAGACATTTGCCCCCCCTGAGAGATTTTGCAGGAGCCGCCACTGGTGGCAGGGACGTAGAGGGGATGACTCTTGAAGCTTTGGGTAGGACAGCTGCAACCTCATTGGACATATCAACCCAAGGTGAGGTCGGCAGTGCTCGATAGACACCATACATGATCCGCACACTAGCGAACACTAGCTACTATCTCTAACCAATGAGCAAACCATCCATGAGTTAAACAGTGCTTCGCAACCAGTGTGCCGCAGCACACCAAAGTGCAAGGTGTGTCGCGGCAATATTGAAATGATCAACGCAAACAAAATAAACGCATAGACCCCCAGTCATCAATGTAAAACAATTACATCAACACAACACCGACATTGGAATGGACACAGTAGACGGGCATCCAAATAAAACCACGAAATAGACGGAACAGATGGCCATCCTAACAATTACGAATTAAACACAAGACACGCACAAAACACACAACTCCCCCCCGACCCCCACTTGATTGGTTGAGCAGGGTGAGTGATGAAACCCGAGCATCAAGTGTCTGCAGTTGTAATTGAGTAGCGTCGAGGCATGGTGGAACACGCGGTCATTGAGGGCAGAGCGATTCAAGCTCTTGTGGAAATTCCACACTTCCATGACGTGTGCACGTACACATCATCAGCCATGACCAATGCACTGCTGGATGAAG